CCCTGTCACTGCGGAGGAAACTTGAAACGATCCTCGCCAAGCTGAACCTCAAGCCTTTTCTTGGACCGAACGCCACCATCAAGGTTCAGTATCTGACTCATGTACGAGACTGGAAAGGTTGGTTCCTTGCCCGAATGCAAACTTAGCCAGCAGTTCATTTAATGAAGCAATCAATGAATTCCTTTTCAGGAAATAATCATGAATACGAATGAGGTATCTTTGCATTTATCAAAATTATTGGGACCACCATGGCCATGGACCATCATGGGTCGACACTGTCTAGCTAGGTTTGCTGATCTCAAAATCAGCTATTCTGGTGGCCTTCGTGATGACTGCAGTGGCTTGCACACATTTCTCTTCCTCAAAAGGAAAGGCCGATTCTTGTTATTCTTGTTTCAATCTCAACATTGCAAAATGTGTGAGATCAGTTTGTGGATGTTGCTAGGAGTGATTTGATGATTTGTTTGATTGATCCTACTACCCAGCCCATGCCGCTCACATGTGCCCTCGAACATCCGCATCGATTCTTTCGGACCTGGGGCAGAGGGAGTGGCGTCGCACCATGAGGATGTCATCGTGGTTCTGAAACGATATTGCTCTGATAAGGAGGTTTGCCAGGCCCATGGTGCTGAACACAAACAGTTTAAAAAAAATAAAATAATCAATGAAATATGATATGAGATGGATGGTTCTGTTTAACTGATTGGTGGACAGTGGTTTATTAACTTGTCGGGTGTTAGAAATTCATAACCCTTCACCTTGGAGGTCCCGGTGCTGGCGATACCTGTCCATTATTTGAGACGGCTCCAAAGCCATGTGCCGATGAAGGGTAGGTCAACCAAAAACATCACCAATAAGAGGAGGAAAAAATGGTTAGACTTAGCGGATGCTTTGTCCAAACGGGCGCCCAGTCAAAGTACCCAAAGGACCATAATGTTTTTGATATGGCTTGCGAATGGAAGGCTGGATTCTGACATAAGTCACTTTCCGGCTTTACCTTGGCACCAATCCCCAGTCCAAACCCAAAGGGTTGACATTGACGTTTCAAATGTTTTGGGCAAATTGTGCCCAGCCATGCATTTCAGGGCAACCCTGCGATGAAAAAAATGGTAATTCCTTCAACGTTTTGCAGCTCGAGATTGATCAATTCACCATTGTGTATGCGGATGTCGCAGCAATTTTTTTCGTCCTGATCCCTTGCTGCTTACTTATACTTTGGCCTTCTCCAGATGGCCATGGACCAAGACACAGTTTCTTAGCTGACAAAAATGATGGTTTCATATCGCTACTACATCCAGTCTTCATGGACTGAACATATCAGTGCTTATGTTACCATGTTGTCTTAACAAATACTGCCCCAAAGAGATCTTGGCCAGCAAGGATCTCGACGCATCTTCGTGCGACGATGACTGGTGGAAGGTGTGTGACTCCAACCCATATGTTGCTTCACTGGTTTAAATTACTTTACTTCGTGTGATCGATTTGTTACTGGCAAATCTTCTGGCATTTTATCTGAGGTATCTTCTGGCATTCTATCTGGCATATCTTAAGGCATATCTTCTGGCATTCTACCTGGCATATCTTCTGGCATATGTTCTGGCATATCTTCTGGCATACTATCTGGCATTCTATCTGGCATATCTTCTGGCATATTTTCTGACATCCTATCTGGCATTCTATCTGGCATATCTTCTGGCATTCTATCTGGCATACCTCCTGGCATTATATCTGGCACATTTTCTGGCATATGTTCTGGCATATCTTCTGCATTCTATCTGGCATTCTATCTGGCACATTTTCTGGCATATGTTCTGGCATATCTTCTGTATTCTATCTGGCATTCTATCTGGCATATCTTCTGACATCCTATCTGGCATTCTATCTGGCAAATCTTCTGGCATTCTATCTGGCATAACTTCTGGCATTCTATCTGGCATATCTTCTGGCATTTTATCTGGCATATCTTCTGGCATTCTATCTGACATTTTATCTGGCATTCTATCTGGCATATCTTCTAACATTCTATCTGGCATATCTTCTGGCACTCTATCTGGCATATCTTATGGCATTTTATCTGGCATATCTTCTGGCACTGAGCTGGGAAGGTCCCAGGTTGGGGTCCAGCGGTGCACACTGAGCTGGGAAGGTCCCAGGTTGAGGTCCAGCGGTGCACACTGAGCTGGGGAGGTCGGGTTGAGGTCCAGTGGTGGTCCCAGGTTGAGGTCCAGCGGTGCACACTGAGCTGGGAAGGTCCCAGGTTGAGGTCCAGCGGTGCACACTGAGCTGGGAAGGTCCCAGGTTGAGGTCCAGCGGTGCACACTGAGCTGGGCAGGTCCCAGGTTGAGGTCCTGCGGTGCACACTGAGCTGGGAAGTTGGCGAAGAGCTTGGCGACGAGTTGGCAAGGCGGAAGTGGAGGTGGAAGTCGATGCAGGCATGGAAGTTGATGCAAACTGCAGGAGGAGGAGGAGGCGAGGAGAAGGCGGAGGCGGAGGAGGAGCGGGCAAGAGCTCTGATAAAATCTAACAACACTCACCTGGCAGGTGGGGAAAAACAAATTGCATTTTGGCAACACTTGTCATCAGCAGTCTTGAGAAATGTCGTGGATTACCATGAAGTAGGGGCATCAACTTTACCTTCTAGACCAACTAAGGCTGATCCTTACAAGTATGTGGCTTGGGGAATCATGCCACTTTCAGCACTAGCAAAGTTGGAAGCTGAAGAAGATGCCGAGTTGGAACGTACAAAAGCAGTGCCCTGTCATTCATGGTTCCATCAAGATGTTTGCTAGCAAAACCCAGCCCAAGGTTGCTTGCCTCCATGTCTCTCAGCTCAGGAACTTGGACATTTGTTCATGCCTCAGAAGGCTGATCACCACGGACAAGGCTCTGCTGAAGCGAAGGTGGTGCCTAGTCTGAATCATTGCATGGGCTCAACCGGAAGTCAGGGAAAATTCTTTCATGAAACATGGTATTTTATCACCGGTGGCAAGGGGATACGAATGAACCAAGATCTCAAGGGTTACCTCAAAAAGAAAAAACTAAGACTTGGTCATTGGTACTGCCTCAGGCCTCCTCTTCTTCGACTACCTTATGCCCTCGATGTTTGAAGTGCTTCAAGGCGGCAACTTGGATGAAAAGGGGGAATTGTCAATATTGACTGCAAACGAACAGATTAAAACACACATTAAAGATGGTTTGTCCTGGCTGTTCAATACAACACTGCTGCAACCCCAAGAATCTGTTCCATCACCTAGTCAATCCATATACCACATGACATAACCACCCATGTTTAGGTGAAGCGGTCTTCGTCAGCTACGTCCTTGTCGAGATCTTCGCGCAGAAAGACCATCGCCAAGATTACCAAGGCGTTAGGGTTTTGGCTCACAGCTAGCTGAACCATTGAAAGGCCAGAACTTGAACTAATGCCATAACCCATGAGACTACCTACCTCAAGTACTTCCTCCACTTTGGCATCCCATTGGAACCAATACTTACTCCATAGCCAACCATAGCCCAATGTAGCACATAGCCTACTTCACTCCAACACCTTTCCTGGCAGGTCAAGACGACCGCCAGCGCGGAGCCCGTGCCATCCAAAGAAGGATGAGGGGCATTCAGAGGATAGAGGGATGTCGCAATTATTTGCAAATTCACTTAGTGGAAATTAACTTTGTACTCACCAGAATGTAGCTAGCGCTGCAGGAAAAAATCACTTCCCCTGTACTTGTGGTGACTGTGCTTATCAACATCTTGTGAAATTACGATGATCTCATGGAACCTTTTTGATGCCACACAGTTGCCAACAGAGTTGCAAGCAAAGCAGCTTACTGGTATTCACTGATTGAATTCGTTAACTTGGCTCAATTGGGTTTCGATAGACCTTTTGTCACCGTTGAACCAGGGGCCACGGGTTGTCCCAATGCCGATTGCCTTGAACGAAGCTGTTCGTCTCCTAGTGGTGAATCGAGGGAGGAGAGATGATGCACCTTTGGCTAGCCGTTGTCAAAACAAAAGAAAAAAAGTGAAGATACTTGGATTTATTTTGGGATGTAGCAGCAGCCATCAGCTGATGAAACTTGATGTTTGTCAATCAAGATGGGTTTCATTGTATCCAATCCCCATTGTCTTTCAATTAAGGAAGACCATCCGCAAAGAGAAGTTTATCCCGAAGGTCTCCATACCCACGCCGGTGCCAAGGGTTTGTCCAGCTGGTGCCCGCACAATGGCAGGTCTCTTCAAGTGGCCTGAAGTGTTCTTGACCATGCTGGTCTACAAATTTGGAGCAGGGCTGGTTAGGGACCGGGTCAACGCATGGAATTGGGATGTGTCAACGGCGTTTAGCGGAGTTGGGTGCCCTGAAAACGTACCTCAGAATGAATTAATGATTACAAGGGTTTTGTCTATAGACCCCCAATAGGATCAATGGGTACAAAAACAGATTTCTGGTTACCATGATATTTTGGTGTCTTTTTTTGGTACCTGAGGCAATTCATTGCCTCCAGAATGCGTGCAACAAATTCTTCGCCAAGAAGACCCACAGGAACTATGTCAAGTGCAAGTGGGCGTTTGAATGGAACAAGCAATGCCAAAAAGTCCTCTCATCCACCTACAAAACTTGTTGCTTTACGGATGTCAATAGTTACAAGAAGAACAAGGATTTGCCCTGTGCCACCCATGGTAAAAACTGCAAGTTGGGCTATCGCACCCCAAAGAACAGAGCCTTTGAGTGATTCAGTTTCAGCTATGAAATCATTGGGGTGTGTTTGTCCCGTTTGGTATCTCTTACATAAGCGAGTATTTAGCACATAAACTTCCAACCTTTGCTAAGGACTGAAAGTGATGATTGCAGGTCCTTTTCTCAGACTCCCAGGGGTGAGACGGAATGGAAGAAACACACAGAATGAATCATCACAGATGAACTATCATGAGCATCACAAACTTCAGATTGAACCCACGCATGGAATCCACGCCTAGGACCGCCTTGCGTGGCATATTCTAGAATGGGTCTTCAACTCCGTGAAGCTGATGAAACTTTTCATGCTCATGAAAGTTACTACACTATGTCCAAAGATGAGGAGTTCACTGTACAGATCATAGAGAATGTCCCAGAATATGGTGAAGATGTTGTCAGAAGCCACCTTCCACATTCCTCCTGGGAGGTGATCAGCGTTTGCTTGGACCCCAGGCTGTTCGGGCAGGCTGCAGCCAGACCTCGCCGATACTTCGTGTGTTGGAAGAAAGGTTCAGTGGATACAAACCCCAACATCAAAATCGAAGATGTCATCATGGCTTTGAGGACATACCCTGTTATTGATCCCATCAAGTACTTTTGGCAAAACTTGGGCCCCACGAACTTATCTGATGCACAGGACCAGGGATTCATGTTCAAAAGATAGCAATACAAACTTCTCAAGATGATTGACCTATAGAACAATTTATATCATCATACCATGACATTTCTTTATCAAATCACCCTGAAGGAGAGAACCCGTCGAGACTATGATGCCAAGCTCAGATTTGTTGACTTGCAGCAGTACCCTAGAAATGGCCGGGGTCGTAGCGAGAACAAAGATGGGAGCTTACCGACCTTGACAACAAACAGTGGGTCCATCTACTCTCAGGAGAGTTTTTGTAATGTGGGCTTCTGAACAAGCAAATACATTCTGAAATATGATTGACATGGATTTTTATGTCATCACACACGTTGTTTTCCACTTAAAGATTGGTTATAGTTCATTCTGTATGGATCTGCTTTGTGGGTATACCATGTGGGCACCATAAGATAGTTCTCCCTTGCACACCATGATGGTTTTCATGTGGCCAAAATAACCGTATGCCTCAATGAGTTGATCTAAACCCATCTCGATCCTGAGCGTGCCTCCAGGAACTCAAGAGGAAGCTGATGCCTCTGGAAGCTTTGACTACTCATCTGCTTCCCACCACCCGGGGGCAAGCTGAGCTGAGTGGTGGTGTGAAACTTGAGTTGGGTTCTGCCCCACCTACGGTTGTATCTAAGATGGCTGGAAACAGCATGAACATGCCATGCATCGGTGCTATTGTGATGGCTACCATGATGTGCCTGAGCCCCAAAAAGTGATGACATTGTGCTGGCTGGTGTAGCATCAATGAAGGGTAAGCTTTGGTGCGACTCAGAAAGGCATATTCAGTTTTTTGGCACGTTCCTTTAAAGGGCAACGGTACAATATTCATAGCGAAATTCACTGATTGTTTGCATGAAGGGCTGGAACCCGAGGCCACTGCAAATTAGTTCAAACACAAATTGATCAAGATTATTCAACCCCGACAAAAAAATATTCATTAGACAAGTTGTCTATGGGATTGTTTAGATCGATTATTATTGATTTAGTATGCCTCTGTGGGATGCCCCTGCAGCCAAAACGACCAGCTTTCCAAACAAGGTGGAAAATTGGTTAGCTGTTCTCGACTGTTGTTTTCAGGGCCTTCAACTCCGGCCAGTCACTGTGCATGAATCCACCACCCATCACCACCCTTACTGATGAACACCGGTCATGAAGATGACTGTTGCTTCTCTTCTTCGAAATTCATCACATGCGATGATTTCCAATGCATTTAGGATCATTTAGGGAATTTTCCGAGCTATCTGTAGTTTCACCATGGGGAAGCGGGCGGCCACACCGTCGTCGAGTGGCGGGAAAGGATCCAAGCTTCCAAAGCATGACCTGGCCATGGGACCATGGACATCTATGGTGATGGATGCCATCCAGTAGGGGTCTTAGAAAATCACTTTACTTCGACATTTATATGTTTTGTTACTGGCAAATCTTCTGACATTCTATCTGGCATATCTTCTGGCATTCTATCTGACATATCTTCTGGCATTCTACCTGTTCTATCTTCTGGCATACCTTCTGGCATTCTATCTGGCATATCTTCTGGCATTCTATCTGGCATATCTTCTGGCATATCTTCTGACATCCTATCTGGCATTCTATCTGGCATATCTTCTGGCATATGTTCTGGAATATCTTCTGGCATTCTATCTGGCATATCTTCTGGCATTCTATCTGGCATTCTATCTGGCTGGCATACCTCCTGGCATTCTACCTGGCAAATTTTCTGCATATGTTCTGGCATATCTTCTGCATTCTATCTGTTCTATCTGGCATATCTTCTGACATCCTATCTGGCAATCTATCTGGCAAATCTTCTGGCATTCTATCTGGCAAACATTCTGGCATTCTATCTGGCATACCTTCTAGCATTCTATCTGGCATATCTTCTGGCATTCTATCTGGCATATCTTCTGGCATTCTATCTGACATATCTTCTGGCATTCGATTTGACATTCTATCTGGCATATCTTCTGGCATTCTATCTGGCCGTTGAGGTCCAGCGGTGCACACTGAGCTGGGCAGGTCCCAGGTTGAGGTCCAGAGGTGCACACTGAGCTGGCAAGGTCCCAGGTTGAGGTCCAGCGGTGCACACTGAGCTGGCAAGGTCCCAGGTTGAGGTCCAGCGGTGCACACTGAGCTGGGAAGTTGGCAAAGAGCTTGGCGAAGAGTTGGCAAGGCGGAAGTTGAGGTGGAAGTTGATGCAGACATGGTCGAGGCGAAACAGGCGGAGGAGAAGGAGGAGGAAGAGGAGGAGGAGGACGGCGAGGAAGAGGACAGCTAGTCGAGGAGGACATCCACTCTGATAAAATCTAACAATCCTCACCTGGCAGGTGGGGAAATACAACGTTTTTGTTGAATTACTTTGCATTTGGCGGTGGTGGAAGAAATGGTCATAACAAATAATTAGTAATCCATATTAAGACACATGTTCATGATGGTACCCCCAAGAGACATATGGAATTGATGTCTTTGGTTGGTTACTCATGGATGTTATTCGACAAGATCAGAGTCTAAGACCCAAAGAAGATGTGACTATCACAAACTAAGCCGGTTCTTCTTCCATGGGCCATCCCAATCATATGTCAAAAGTATTGCATGCATGCGATGAGTTTATGATTCGAATAAGTAGGGATCTTTGAAAGCATTCACAAATGCTAAGCCATCAAACCAATCCATCAACCAGTGACCTACACAAACATTAAGACCAGATGACAAGATTCGTTGGTATGTCCCTGATGTCATGATTTTGCAACCTCCCTCCAAAAAAAATACAAGACCATGCTGAGGTCATTCGATCCAATGAAGGACGAGCACCCAGGGAACTTTTGTGTGACCACCTTGAACCAGGGGGGTGTCAATGAAGCTCTCAAACAATGGGTTGTGGATCTTGTGCCTGGGTTTTTGGTCCCACAAGCTACGGTGCTGCCAGTCCTTTGGTTTGTAGCATTTAGCATCTCAATAATGATTTGTATTTTTCTGATACTTTCTCTACGGTTGAAGTTATATCAAGCCACCAATCCTTTTACATCCCTTGACGACATACCAACATCATTCAACATCATACGAGGTTGATCTCCAAGCGAATGGTCCCTTCTCTGCCAGTCTTCTGGCTTTCACCTTGGACAAACCAGCTGACGGTTACCCGATCTTAGAGGATTGGTCGAATCTCGCAAGGGATATCTACCATAGTGGATGGGAATCACACCGTGGCGCCATCGAAATCCAGCTGACCTCCGCCGGCGCTCCAGGCCAACCCCTGGAGTTTGGATCTTTGACCCCATCGAAAGGATTCGGCAGGGTTTCGGCTTTGATGTTTGGTGTGCTCTGGACCTACCAAAACATGAGCTCTTTGAACGATGTGCAAAAGTCTGACTTCATCAGGCTTATGGTTTCGGATGTTCTGGGATCAAAAGGGTAACCCTTGCCCTAACCAAAGTGTGGAGTTTTGAAGGGTGATGGTTTCGAGCAAACCGTCGCCCCTTGTATATTCTGGTTCGGTCCCATTATATGTGATACAATATCTTTGGTGGAACCACATTACTACTCAAATGGGACAGGGTGATGGTTTGCTCGAAACCATCGCCCCCTGAGCTCCAGAAACTTAGGAAGTATAGGGATGATCATTTCAATCTATCAGTTGTTTTTGAAGGACATGTACTGACAGGTGTTTTTTTGGTGGTCCAGAATAAAGGTATCGGTGCTACCATGGTTCATCGATATGAATAATCAATTGGATATTTGCAATTATCATGTTTTTTCATCAAATAGTGTATTCAGGAAATCATGGGGGTGATGGTTTGCTCGAAACCATCGCCCCTGGAAAACGAATAGGTAATTTGGTATTCAAAATTTACCAGAATATCTCCCCCAGCAAACCAAATAGCTTAAGGGGAACAGTTTCTCTGGAAACTTGGGTGGCTGCGTGGGGGTGATGGTTTGCTCGAAACCATCGCCCCTGGAAAACTAATAGGTAATTTGGTACTCAAAATTTACCAGAATATCTCCCCCAGCAAACCAAATAGCTTAAGGGAACCAGTTTCTCTGGAAACTTGGGTGACTGCGTGGGGGTGATGGTTTGCTCGAAACCATAGCCCCTGGAAAACGAATAGGTAATTTGGTATTCAAAATTTGCCAGAATATCTCCCCCAGCAAACCAAGTAGCTTAAGGGAACCAGTTTCTCTAAAAACTTGGGTCACTGCGTGGGGGTGATGGTTTGCTCGAAACCATCGCCCCTGGAAAACGAATAGGTAATTTGGTATTCAAAATTTACCAGAATATCTCCCCCAGCAAACCAAATAGCTTAAGGGAACCAGTTTCTCTGGAAACTTGGGTCACTGCGTGGGAAAACGAATAGGTAATTTGGTATTCAAAATTTACCAGAATATCTCCCCCAGAAAACAAAATAGCTTAAGGGAACCAGTTTCTCTGGAAACTTGGGTCACTGCGTGGGGGTGATGGTTTGCTCGAAACCATCGCCCCTGGAAAACGAATAGGTAATTTGGTATTCAAAATTTACCAGAATATCTCCCCCAGCAAACCAAATAGCTTAAGGGAAACAGTTTCTCTGGAAACTTGGATGACTGCGTGGGGGTGATGGTTTGCTCGAAACCATCGCCCCTGGAAAACGAATAGGTAATTTGGTATTCAAAATTTACCAGAATATCTCCCCCAGCAAACCAAATAGCTTAAGGGAACCAGTTTCTCTAAAAACTTGGGTCACTGCGTGGGCCATCGCCCCTGGAAAACGAATAGGTAATTTGGTATTCAAAATTTACCAGAATATCTCCCCCAGCAAACCAAATAGCTTAAGGGAAACAGTTTCTCTGGAAACTTGGTTTGCTGGGGGAAATATTTCTGGTAAATTTTGAATACCAAATTACCTATTCGTTTTCCAGGGGCGATGGTTTCGAGCAAACCATCACCCCCACGCAGTGACCCAAGTTTCCAGAGAAACTGTTTCCCTTAAGCTATTTGGTTTGCTGGGGGAGATATTCTGGTAAATTTTGAATACCAAATTACCTATTCGTTTTCCAGGAGCGATGGCCCACGCAGTGACCCAAGTTTTTAGAGAAACTGGTTCCCTTAAGCTACTTGGTTTGCTGGGGGAGATATTCTGGCAAATTTTGAATACCAAATTACCTATTCGTTTTCCAGGGGCTATGGTTTCGAGCAAACCATCACCCCCACGCAGTCACCCAAGTTTGCAGAGAAACTGGTTCCCTTAAGCTATTTGGTTTGCTGGGGGAGATATTCTGGTAAATTTTGAATACCAAATTACCTATTCGTTTTCCAGGGGAAATTTTATCTGGCATATTTTCTGGCATATTATCTGGCAAATCTTCTGGCATTCTATCTGGCGACGAGTTGGCAAGGCGGAAGTGGAGGTGGAAGTTGATGCAGACATGGTCGAGGAGAAATTGGAGGAGGAGGAGGAGGAGAAGAAGGAGCAGGGGGAGGCGGCGGGCAAGAGCTCTGAAAATCTAACAACCCTCACCTGGCAGGTGGGGAACAATAGGTAGTTTTGTATTTAATTCATAATCTATTGGTTTTCCCACGAAAACAACGATAAGATAACAACTTTCCTTCAAAACGTCAACAGCTTGGTGGAGGTGAAACCACTTACCCTTCAAAATTAACATGAGGGTCATATTTTCAACTGAAAATCATCCATGATGAATTCCCGAAGACAGGTTCAGGAAACCAGTTCCTTTGCAAACCCAATGGTTGTCTCAGGGCGGTGTTTTGGTTGAAGCTGTTGCTTGGTATCATGCATGGGCATCAACTATAGTATACTGAGTACTGATGAATGTTCCAACAAACATGCAATTTGTACGTTTGCTGAACTAATTCCATTGCTTTATGTTCTCCACACTTTTACTTGAAGATCACACCCGTACAGGTTTACAAGCTTCTTGGTTTCAACCGCAAAATGATTCATTGTTATTCCTTGGTTCTTTAGTTTTTGCTATGCGAAGTCCTTCCTATTGGCAACCAAGCTGTTGCACCTTTGGGATGCATCATACCAAACTCATTGTCTATTCAAAATCAAATTCCATAAAGCTGTGCCAAAATGGCAATGGATGGTAGCAGTGGTGCTGTTCATAGAAAACACATCTTCTTGTTACTGGTTGATGTGCTTCTGATTTTTGCGGTATGTTGCATATCTCATTCGGTTTGATGGCAGACCCTCACACTTCCACAATGGACCATCGTTGGACCATGTTATCAAATAATCTAATGTTTTTCTGCACATCCATCTATGCCACTGGTTGGTCGATATGCTGATCATTGTCGATATACTGACCATTATTGACGCGACCATCAATTATTAATGATCATAGGGTTTTATGGAACAATGAGACCCAAATAATAATCTACCATCGCAAGATAATCCCAATGTACATATCTCATGGACACTTTGAGGTATGGCCCAATGAGCGCAACTGAGATTATATCAATAATATCGATCAATAGATGAAGGTCATATTAGGTCATCAAGATATGCATTTGTCAATTCATGGATGGGAACATCTGAGTACCACTTTTTTTTGTATTATATAGATTATTGCCACATATCTGTGGGATATTATACAGTTACTCAAACCATATGCACATGGATCATGCATGTGCGCCGAAATAGTCACACAAACACATTAACTGGCATGCATTCTACCACATCCTGCACCCTTCAAGCTTTGCCTTGTGGCCCAACCAAGCCTTTCCTTTTCAAAAACCTTGGCAGCGACAGGTGGCTGCAGACCCTTTGCTCCATCTCTGTGTGCTTCATCAAGTTGGACCGACCGGAGCTCTACATGTTTAGGAGGATGCAACTGGCTGAACAGGCTGCCTTGAAACAAGCAAGGAACCCTTTGCAGAAAACAATGATTTTCAATGCCAGAGCTATGGCCTTGCAGGACTGCCCAACTAACAAGATTTTGTTTGTCGCCCAAAAAAGGTTTGAACATATTCACTGTTTGTTTTGATGGATGAATTGTATGTTGGGGGTCTAACCCAGTTTGGTGACCAGGCTGCTGACCCATCGTCGTCTTACAAAGACAACTTCTTGAAAGCTTGCGATGAGTACAACTCTTTTGGCAGTGCTCTGAGCAACAGCAAGATCAGAGTTGAACAAAATCTAGCGCTGAAGCTCTACGGGCTGAAGGTCCATGGGAACCAAACAATGCTTATATTTTTTCAAACCAGTATGTATCGAATGAGTCCAACCCCAAACAAATGAAATTACTTTATGATCCCCACCATGACATTTATCGATTTGTTACTGCCAAATTTTCTGGCATTCTATCTGAGATATCTTCAGGCATTCTATCTGGCATATCTTCTGGCATTCTACCTGTTCTATCTTCTGGCATACCTTCTGGCATTCTATCTGGCATATCTTCTGGCATTCTATCTGGCATATCTTCTGGCATATCTTCTGACATCCTATCTGGCATTCTATCTGGCATATGTTCTGGAATATCTTCTGGCATTCTATCTGGCATATCTTCTGGCATTCTATCTGGCATTCTATCTGGCTGGCATACCTCCTGGCATTCTATCTGGCAAATTTTCTGCATATGTTCTGGCATATCTTCTGCATTCTATCTGTTCTATCTGGCATATCTTCTGGCATATCTTCTGACATCCTATCTGGCATTCTACCTGGCAAATCTTCTGGCATTCTATCTGGCAAACATTCTGGCACTTTATCTGGCATACCATCTGGCATAACTTCTGGCATTCTATCTGGCATATCTTCTGGCATTTTTCTGGCATATCTTCTGGCATTCTATCTGACATTTTATCTGGCATATCTTCTAACATTCTATCTGGCATATCTTCTGGCACTCTATCTATCTGGCATATCTTATGGTATTTTATCTGGCATATCTTCTGGCACTGAGCTGGGATGGTCCCAGGTTGAGGTCCAGCGGTGCACACTGAGCTGGGGAGGTCCCAGGTTGAGGTCCAGCGGTGCACACTGAGCTGGGGAGGTCCCAGGTTGAGGTCCAGCGGTGCACACTGAGCTGGGCAGGTCCCCGGTTGAGGTCCAGCGGTGCACACTGAGCTGGGGAGGTCCCAGGTTGAGGTCCAGCAGCGCACACTGAGATCGGAAGGTCCCAGGTTGAGGTCCAGCGGTGCACACTGAGCTGGGAAGGTCCCTGGTTGAGGTCCAGCGGTGCACACTGAGCTGGGAAGTTGGCGAAGAGCTTGGCGACGAGTTGGCAAGGCGGAAGTGGAGGTGGAAGTTGATGCAGACATGGAAGTTGATGCAAACTGCAGGAGGAGGAGGAGGCGAGGAGGAGGCGGAGGCGGAGGATGAGCGGGCAAGAGCTCTGATAAAATCTAACAACCCTCACCTGGCAGGTGGGGAATAAGGTTTGCGATGGATTCAGTTCATATTTTTAACAACCATACAAATTGGTTTCTGCAGGTTGGCCTTGCAGACAAAGCCTGGGCAAGCATCGAACGACACTTGCACGTGTTCAGGATCGAAAGATCAGGTGTGGGGTCAAAGACCAATTATAATCATGGAATCCACCAAATTGTCCATAGTATTTCGATTTGCTGGAAACAGGTTCAAATATTTACATCCTTGTCCACTATGAGCAAATGCTTAATTCACCTAATAAGGGCCATCAACAACCATTGACAACCCCTGCAGCTTTTGGGCGTGATCACCTTCTATCTGAACGCTGGTTATTGGGAAGCATCGCACGTGGTGCTGATGGTCTGTGGTATTCAGTCCTAGAGGTCACACCCGCGAAACAGGAGCTGTTCCTTGACCGGGTTTTGTTCCTACACCAACTCGCTGTGAGCAGGGTTTCAGCTTCAGCGACCAATGCCGTCAGGCTTACAGCCCAGCAGTGGGATGCTGAGGTCGAGTTGGCATGTCTGGGTAGTTGGGTGCTACTCAAGATGGAGGAGGCAAAGGATGATCAGGGTACCGCAATTTTCAGTACTGCTGCCTTGAAGATGTGTCGTGCACGCTTCATCGAAGGGTACTTGGTTTCAATTCATTCCCAATCTATGTTTTTCTACTGAGAGGTTTCCCACAAATACCTTCAAACCCTATGGGATGATTTTCTAAGTTGGGTCAATGCACAGTGGTTTTTCAACCAACTTAGGGACTTCATGGAGGATTTGGGGACGTTTTTGGCTTCGGCTGATCCTTCCTTTGAACCCAAGTCTACGGTCATGTGGATTGAGAGTAGCCCTGAAAGTACTGACAGCAAACGAAACGATGCTGCTTTGGGGGACGCTGAGAAGAAAATCATGCAACTTGAATCTCAACAAAATGATGTGGCTTGGCAGTCGGATACCTTGAAGCTGGCCAAAGATGCATCGATGTGCGCCAAGCTTGTCCGACAAGCTGCATCCAATGAGAGGGCTGATAGATTGGCGAAGATCACCCACATCAAAGAGCAGAACAAGATTGGGGCATCGCTCATCCAAACGTTTACCGACAACCATTGTCAGCATGTGACCCTTACTGCTGGTGATGCTGATGGGAAGCTTTCGCAGGTTCCCAAGTCAAACATTTTTACTCACACCTCCTAAATAGGTTTAACCAAATACACTTGACACTGAATTTGGGGCCACACTGACTCTACCCTTTGGCATCCATCAAACCCATCAGTTTCTGACCGACGTCCTCGGCCACAATGGAGCTGTCATCGTCTGGGTTGATATGATGAAATGTGGCCGTGTTCAGAACAAGCAGTTGGATGAGTTGGCGAGCAGGCTCAAAAAGATTTTGACCAGAAAGTCATCGCATACAGTGGCATTCGTGTTGGCACCACACCTTGTGAGCGCCAAAACTGTCAATGCCACCATTCGTGGAGAGACAAGGTCAGGGTAGCATTGGTTCTCCAATCTGTTTAGGCCCACCATATTAATCCAAAGAGCCCAGCTGAATCTTTGAACAACTGGCACTATTGCTTATCAAATGCAACAGCTATCATCCTACGAACTTGATGTTTAGAATTGGATGGTTTTTACCTCACTTCACCAGACAGAGTTATCTAGGCCAGACTCTTTAATCCCCAGGCTAAACCCTCTGATCCCCTGCAGGAGAATAGAAGATAAACTCGACGCCAAACAATTGGCTTCTTTTCCCTTGTCTTTGAGGTGTGATACACCGCCATCAGCCAAGCGGGTCCCCATGCACTACCCGGCTTGGCTTGTGGTTTGCGACTCCTTTGTCGACCAAAACATTTGGAGCAATTGCCAACTCATGATGGACAGGACCGTGTTTTATGTCATTGAATCCAACAACTAATTATCCAACAGGTGAGTTTTTACAGTGATATGATGTATGTGATGTATGATATGTGGAAATTGTTCCTGTGATACCAGAAAGTGTTATATTATATGATATGGTCCTTTTGATCAACCTTGAACAGTTTGGGGGTGAACTCATATCATGCATCTTTTCCAGGACGACTCGGACGACCGTACCCTTTGCTGCGGAGACACCGTATGTGGTGCCTACTTCTGGCAAAGATGCGTTGCCACTGGCATCAGAAGGGCCCAGGTATCTAGCACCAAATTCATTCAATTCTGATGTTTTTGGCCATCGCCCCAAAAAATGGATTGGTCATCAACAAAATATTTGTCCAAACCACGCCATGGTTTTTCATGGCTTTTCCATGTGAAAGACTTACCCAACCAAGCTAATCATCGTTCATTGAGGTCGATGTCGGACGTGCAAGAAAGTGCGCAAATCTTGGCTGGGCAGCAGCTACCGACTGCAGTGCTCTCATCCATTCTGCATGGAGCAGACTTGGCTGCGAAGCTGGTTGGAGTTGTGAATTTGACTCCATATGATGCCCACCTGGAATCCACATGTGTCCACTGGCAGCAGAACCATGGTTCGGACCATCCTTTGCTGAAATCGTTTAGCGTTTCTGATGGTGCTGATGAAGTGCTTTTCAGTGAGCGAGTTTTGGCAAACCAGCTACTGCAGGACTGGTCGATCAAAAAACAGATGCTAATGGTAATACCAAATCAAAAAACAGATGCAGGACTGTTTTTTTAAAACCATCTAAGACATGAAATATCATCAGTATGATGATCCATGTCAAGGTGAAAAGACCATTGGTATCTTTAGGAAGTCGAGTTTCTGTCCAGGAGTGGAAGAGCGGCTCACCGATCTTCAAATGCTTTCGTCAATATGATCCAAACTTTGAGCAGAACACCGGCCTGAAATTGGAGGACTACCCACTGAAGTTCTGCCAGGTGACTCATGACCCATCCAAGAAGGGCATCCATCAATATGTCTTCAGTTTGCCTGTCTCGGTTCGATCTCTCTATAGCCGTGACAGTGTGAGGGCAGAAGAATGGCAGAAATTGATCACTGACTTTGACCAAAAGTTTCATTACTTCCTGGATTCGGTGATACTATTTTCATTTACACCCCCCAACTTATTATGTTCATATCAGCAGGTCAACCAGGTCATAGCCCTTGGCAGCTCCCCAGCCCTGTCCTCAGGTTCCACATCACCAGAACCCAGGAGGTCATCGAGGTTCCTGAGGAAGATGTGGAGGAGGCGGTCAAACCATGGGAGCAAGAGCCCCAGGACTTGCAATCTCTCATGGACACCTACATCGTGGAGAACAAGTTCGCTGCAGCCATTCCTGGTGCCATGTTGTATCTCACCAAGGCTGAGACCCGTGCAGGTGAACGTGTTGATGTCACCGCTGACCAGAAGAACAAACTCTTCATGGTTACTAACTTGCAGGTTAACATTCCACCAGTGGATATTGTTGTGTCACATGTGATACCATCATGATTAACAAATCAATTTTCATAAATATCGATCCACTACATGGGATGATTGAAGAAATTTTCCATGATCTCACGGTTAAATCCATTGGACACTCAAACAACATCTATTTTTCCTTCCAGATGACCCACTATCACCTAAGGAGGTATAAATCATGATTATTTCTGACAACCTCAATCCAAACCGAGGTTGCTCACATGGGAGTCTCCCTGGGCCAGAACGAGGTGGTTCTTTCCCACGGAAAGGCTAGCTTCATGAAACAGGAGAAAGTTGCAAAGCTGCTTCGAGAAGGCTGGGAACTTGGGGCTGGACTGAGCCCTGCCGTGGATCTCACTAGTACGGTTTGATTTTGGGATCTTCCCACAGCCATGCTATCAATAGTTGGGGTTGAATTCAACAAAGTAGCTCACACAAGTTGACATCCAGAAATCATTATTGTGTGAGGAGTATTCAGCCTATTCCCAAGCACCCAGTTTCAGATGTTTGAGTTGGTGGCCAGCAGATTTGTAACTCAAAGTGTTGGCCCCTGTCTCTCCTCCACGCTTTTGCCATTGCACCATGTCCGGCGCCTTGGAGCAGCTGCTGGCGAGCAGTGGGCTGAAAGCGGACCAGTGTTGCCAAACATGGTTATCACCACTTAGTGCCACTAGGAAGATTTTTAAACAATCATTACCCCAGGATTGCCATACAAAAATCACCATTGAATCATTTTCAGGTCATGTTGTCCCCATTATTATTTTATGGGCCCACACTCCTGTGATTATCTAGTATGTGATTCTCTTGTTACTGCAAACTACCACACGTTTGATCCAGAACCTTCCAGAACCTTCCAGAACCTTTCATTTGGATACACTCTTGGCTTTCCTTTGGCAGGACTTGGAAAAGATGTGTGATGGGAGCCCTGGCTTCTTGACTACACCACCTCCAAGATCCACGGCCTATCCAGTCTCAGGGAGCTCCAGTTCTGCCATGACACCTAAAGCTTTGCCTTTCAACACTGGTTCTTCTCGGGATCCCCTCCTGACTGAAGAGCAAAAAAAAGACTTGGCAAAGAACATGGAGAAAGCAAAGGAAAAGTTGAAGGATGACAAGGCTGCAGCCAAAAAAGCTGTGGCTTCTTTGCGGGGAAACATGAGCAAGCCAGCGAAGAGCAGTGAAGCAAAGTCTTCTGCTGCCGATTCTCGTGGTAGGGGTCGGGGCAAAGGGCGTGGGCGTGGTCGGGGCCGAAAGGCTACTACCGAACCTGAGACAGATGGGGAGTTGGAAGAGGAGATCGACGCCGTTGACTCGGAGATGGAGAAGGAAATCGAGACCCTTCAGGAGGTTGACGTTGACCTGGTGGAGTCCCCGCCTTCTGAGCATGATTCGATCCTGACGGCTGACACTTTGGAATTAGGGGATGAACCACCAGAGACAGTTCCCAAAAGGAAGAGAGAACGTTCTTCTGGGCCTGTTGCAAAGAAGCCAAGCACCAGGGCCACCAGTTCCAAGAAAGATGAAGCCATGAAGGGCAAGATGAAAGTGAATCAGAAACAGAAGAAGGGCACTGAGATCAAAGCAAAGGCTGCAGCACCTGAGAAGAAGAAGAGCAAGGCTGCAAAGAAGAAAGAAAAGAAGGGTGGAGATGCTAGCAAAGGATCTTTTGACGGCAACTTGAACAAAGAGATGCACCAGTTCATCAAGGCGGAGTCGATCAGGTTCAAAGCGGAGGGCATGTCGCCGAAGGAAGCTCTTGCTGCAGCTCGCAAAGCGTGCCTAGGTTTTGAATGATAAACTCAGCTTGGGTTCTTGCTGATTATCCCTGTCTGTGTTTCACCCCTGGCCCAGTACCAATTTGGTCTCCACTTTAGCTTGTTCGGTTTCCCACTCACCCACTTCCCTGTAACTAAGCCTCTTACCTTGTTAAACCATCTTGGATTCCGAATCCAGCACTCATTATTCTGAGGTGGAAGTCTTGTCCCGTGCGCATGGATGCCTACCAAAAGATGACCAAGAGTGAGCGCTCTCGCCGCCGCATGAAGTGAGAGGGGGTTTACGAACTTCACTGCTGTGCTTTGGGTGTGGTCCATCCTCTTCACAAACCTGAAGTATTTAACTTGCCTTTCGTTGTTTTTAGGAAAGGACCCTCAGCCTTAGTGAAGCACGCAGTGGCTTTGAGACCTAGTTATTCCAGTTCTTGCAGGGTTCAATCTTGAACTCAGCGCTGTTTTGTCTCAGGCTGTCGCGCATCCAGTTTGGACCAAGTTTGCGCTCCAAACTTGGCAGTATTAGGGATTAGGATGTGGCAGCTGCAAACCTGGGGAGAAAAATAGAAAACCTACTTTTGGCGTACTTCGACCACAGTAATACCCCAAAGAAAGAGATCATCCTTTAACAGTACCCAGCGGGCATGAACTCACTGGTTTCATTTAGTTTCCTTTCAGATTCTCAACAGTTTCACAATTTTGATGTTCCATCAGTTCCATCATTAATTCCATGTACCATCCTACCTGTTGTGCAGGTGGGACCCTCGACAACACTTGCTCTTTCGAGCTTCGCAGTGACCAGGACACTGTGGTGCTGGAAATTCAGGCTGAAGGAACGAAAACAATGAAGGATTCAGACCCCACCAGCCTCAAAGCCCTCCTTATGCAAATGGAAGAAGCAGGGATTGTGGATTGCACAGTTTGCTGCCATGAAGTTACTGCGGTTTCTCCAATGGAAGGAGGCCACTGGACCAACATTTACCAAAACCACTAGCCAAGTCTAAAGGTTTAATGGTCTTCCTGACCCTCATCACCAACTATATTATGATGTAGTGTTGGGGTATTAGGATGTAACATGACTTTACTCTCTGTCCTGTGCCCATCTAGGTGACGACTCTCGTGATGGATTCCATGTCAAGCCGAAAGAGAAAAAAGTGACTCTCCAGTGGAATCCCATGGGATCCAACCTCAAGAGCTCCAATATTGCCAGTTCTTTCCCCAATGATGCCCCTTGACTAAAGATATGTGGGTATATATTGTTTTGTACTTTACATAACTGACAATGATGATTCATAATTGGTGTCACTACTGGTGTGGCCATGGACCCTCAACCCAGGTTCTGATGGCGAGCCGTACCGTCAGACGAGCTTGGCGGGTGGGCTACAACGATGCCGATAACGAGATCGCTCCCCGGAAACCCTTATACTTTTGGAGGGAACACTTCCATGGGCTTGAAATGGGCCAAAATTCATGTTTGAGATTGATCTGAACAGATCATGGAGGTTGATCTAAAAAGGTCACCGCTTTTGACTCAGAACCTTGGACCTTAGGGCTGGGGAAGCCATGGTCTTCAGGGACACTCGCATCCGAAGCAAGGCGAAAAATTGAGCACCGCACACATGATCCAGGTGCTCGCCCTTCTTGAGCCAGGTTTTTGGCGCTGGTGTGGGCCAATGTGGACCTATAGATTTCCATCAGCAAAACCATTATAGAATGTGACATGATGATGATGCTGATGATGATGTTTGATTATATATTATCAATAATATTGGACATCATATTTAGCAATCATATATAAATGGTTTAGTTCAGCTTATCTTTTTAATGGGTGTTCATATATATCATTTATTTTCATCCAGTGGGTGAGCCACAGGATTTTCCCGTTCTCCGCTGTAATCATCATGGATTTGGGGAGATGCACCAAGATCCCCAACAGCCGAATGTCATGAAACCACAGCCGAATGAAAGGAAATGACCTTAACACTAAATGCTCAATGACATTTGTTAATATAGCAGTCGCTATATCAGCTTTAGCTGGGGGGGGGCCAAAAACGGTTTCGCACCGAGACCAGAATACGGTGGTGTTTTCGACATTTTTCGAGGATTTTTGGGTGTCTGAGCGCAAGAGGGTATTGAAATGGAATTTTGGGTCATTTTGGTAGCTTTCCGGCAATGGAAAAACGGCCAAAAATGAAAAAAACATTGTACATAGCAAGATTTTGCAGGGTTTTTGGATGCCAGAGCATTGAAAACACTGCAAAAACAAGTGTTTTGGACTGACGTTATAGCAAAAAACGTGTAAATTACCGTATGCTTGACTGGAAACATTACAAAAACACTGTCAAAAGCAATGTTTTGGAAGGATTTACTGCCTTTATGGCAAAAAACGTGTAAATTACCGTCTGTTTGACTGGAAACATTGGAAAAACACTGTCAAAAACAATGTTTTGGAAGGATTTCTTATATATATATATGTTGGAGTTGGCTACCGGCATTGGAACATGGAAAAATTGAAGAAAACACTGTAAATAGCGGTATTTTCAACGGTTGGGGAGATAAGGGAATTGGAAGCATTGTCGAACATGATGTTTTCGACCGGTTTTATGGCGACAAAAGTGTAAAGTACCGTGCTTTGAAGGAAACCATTGCAAAAACATGGAAACACATTCAAAGAACACGGGATTTGGGGGACTATCTAGGCGTCGTTGTCTAGCTATTTGAAATTCCGCAGCTTGGAGAGCCTCCAAGGGAGGGAAAAGTGAAAATTCCATAGCTTGGGAAGCTGTCACGGCGGGGAAAAGTGAAAATTCCCTAGCTTGGGAAGCCCCCACGGGGGGGAAAAGTGAAAATTCCCTAGCTTGGGGAGCCCCCACGGGGGGGGAAAAGTGAAAATTCCCTAGCTTGGGGAGCCCCCACGGGGGGGAAAAGTGAAAATTCCCTAGCTTGGGGAGCCCCCACGGGGGGGAAAAGTGAAAAAAAACAGCAACACTAAATGCTCAATGACATTTGTTAATATAGCAGTCGCTATATCAGCTTTAGCTGGGGGGGGGGCCAAAAACGGTTTCGCACCGAGACCAGAATACGGTGGTGTTTTCGACATTTTTCGAGGATTTTTGGGTGTCTGAGCGCAAGAGGGTATTGAAATGGAATTTTGGGTCATTTTGGTAGCTTTCCGGCAATGGAAAAACGGCCAAAAATGAAAAAAACATTGTACATAGCAAGATTTTGCAGGGTTTTTGGATGCCAGAGCATTGAAAACACTGCAAAAACAAGTGTTTTGGACTGACGTTATAGCAAAAAACGTGTAAATTACCGTATGCTTGACTGGAAACATTACAAAAACACTGTCAAAAGCAATGTTTTGGAAGGATTTACTGCCTTTATGGCAAAAAACGTGTAAATTACCGTCTGTTTGACTGGAAACATTGGAAAAACACTGTCAAAAACAATGTTTTGGAAGGATTTCTTATATATATGTTGGAGTTGGCTACCGGCATTGGAACATGGAAAAATTGAAGAAAACACTGTAAATAGCGGTATTTTCAACGGTTGGGGAGATAAGGGAATTGGAAGCATTGTCGAACATGATGTTTTCGACCGGTTTTATGGCGACAAAAGTGTAAAGTACCGTGCTTTGAAGGAAACCATTGCAAAAACATGGAAACACATTCAAAGAACACGGGATTTGGGGGACTATCTAGGCGTCGTTGTCTAGCTATTTGAAATTCCGCAGCTTGGAGAGCCTCCAAGGGAGGGAAAAGTGAAAATTCCATAGCTTGGGAAGCTGTCACGGCGGGGAAAAGTGAAAATTCCCTAGCTTGGGAAGCCCCCACGGGGGGGGAAAGTGAAAATTCCCTAGCTTGGGGAGCCCCCACGGGGGGAAAAGTGAAAATTCCCTAGCTTGGGGAGCCCCCACGGGGGGGAAAAGTGAAAATTCCCTAGCTTGGGGAGCCCCCACGGGGGGGAAAAGTGAAAATTCCCTAGCTTGGGGAGCCCCCACGGGGGGGAAAAGTGAAAATTCCCTAGCTTGGGGAGCCCCCACGGGGGGGGAAAGTGAAAATTCTTAGCTTGGGGAGCCCCCACGGGGGAAAACCACCCTTAGCCCCTCTCACGGACCGAAATAAACCTGCGGTGTGGGCGGCCACCCCACGCGAAGCGGGGTGAATAGTTGGTGCATGTCATATGTTACATCTTGGTACAATGAGAAGGGTCTGTCTGGAAATAGGGACACCCTATTTACAGCAATTTTCATGGAATACGATGATAAAACCTTGGATTTTTCGGGGTACAAGTACTACAAACCCAAGAATGATAAGAGAATACATATACAATTATATATAATCTGTGTGTGTATGAGAATGATCCACAATTCTCCAACATGTTCGTGTTTCATAATAGTCCCATGGTTTTGAATGATCATCCATCCCCACTTTTTTTTTGCGCTTTTTTTCCGGATTTTCGGCATCTTCTTCCCCATCCAGTGGCGCCCGGCTTATAGAAGCAGGCCGTGGAGTCGAAAACGCGAAACCCGGGTGAGATTCATTTGCAAAATAAGCGACATGAAGAGATTTTTCAGAGCTAGATGAAGCAGGTACATGACTGGTAACCATTGGTAAGCTACAGAGACATTTGGAAGATCATTCCAAGATGTTCCGAGAATCAAAACATCTAATATGATCTAATATCATCTAATATCATCTACACTAAATATCAATCATATCTCAAAAAAATCTTATGAGTGTCTTTAATCATTTCGAATCTGAGCATCTCTGACCTGACTAGGTCAGCATTCAGCCGACCTGGCCAGCCTAACACAATTGTGCCGCTTGAGTGCGGCTTTGCCACACTCGGCACCCATAGAAAAATATCTACAATTTGAACCACGCGACATTCACAACTCAATGTCTCGCTGTGTCTCGGGTCACCATGACATCCATGACCTTGGTCAGGCTGAACAAATCTGAACAAATCTGGAACGTTGTGCTTTCTGAGCCAAGGAAATTTCAGCCAAGAGACCTCAAGAGACTCTCCGTCCCAGTTCGGGCGCGTCAATTCTTCCCTTTTTTCGCCTTTTTTTTGGAGCCAGGTGTCTCTAGCTCTGCCAGGATTTGGTCAAGATCCTGACCAGTTTTACGCAATGCCAAGAGATTGGTGAATTCTTGATAATTCTTGCAAAACTGGCAAAAAAAAAACATGGGCAAAACATCAAACATCATAAAACATCAAACATCAATTGATTTCCATCTGATTCCATTTGATTCATTTTTGATTACCAGATTCGCAGTCTCCACATCGTGAGCCTCTTCTGCCTCTTTGCTTTTGTTTTTACCCTTCTTCTCCTTCTTGCTCTCGGGCTTTTCACCTGGAGCATGGGCCCACATCCCTTCCCCTCTCATGCCAATCATGCCAATGGGTTATTTTCGGTTGCTCCGGAGTCCTACCGCTCCTTTGCGCTATCTCTGAGTGTCCCATGTTCTCTTCGAAACCCCTTAGCACCTCGTGCTTCGGTGTTTTCGACAGGGGGATCCGATGTAAGCTCCTCCATTCAGCAATGCGAGCATGAAACATTGCACCACATCTTTTCTAACCAAACCCGACCCAATGATAGAAAAATATAGCAAAATCGCAGTCATGGATACTTCATGGCAACCCCTTGGCAACTGCTCTGCCAACGGATCTCCACTGCTGAGTTTCCTGTGACCAAAAAGGGATCTCCACAGAGCCATCCACGATGCCCCTCTGCCACTCGGAGGCAGAAGCCATCTCCACATCATCCCATGGGCACCTTACTTTGGCCATGGCCATGGCCATGTTTGATCAAAATATCCATGATATATCCATGATATCAAGCCTGATGTTTGATATTGATATATATATATATATATTGATGTTTGATGTCTGGGGATTGCATTTGATTGTATCCCCTATTTCCATCTCTGCCCATGGGCCCAGGGCATCTGGGGAATTGACGACTTCAAAAAGTTGGCCATGGTGTCACTGAGACGCTTCCGCCCTTTCTTGGCCTTTCAAGAAGTGCCGCTTCCAGTCCATGGAAATCCATGGAAAACATGGGAAACGATATGGAAAAGATATCATTGGGAACACCATTTTGGGGATATCATATGGAATAGCTGGAAGAAGACCAAACATCTTCAGATTAGAAGACTCTCCGAGGATATCTGAAGCAAATCGACAGAATCGACAGAATCGATTTGATGAATCTTGAAGCAAGTGGAAATGTCGGTATGCTTGCAGCTAACTGCCCCTCTACAGCCACATGGGTCTCGAACATTTCCAATATGTCCAATTGTTTCGGCTTATTAAATCATATTAGATCCATACCAAATCACATTCATTCCATGTTCCATGTTCAAGTTTTTTGTTTGGGTCCTTCTAACAGCCCTTCTACAAATCCCACAGCTCCCACCCAATCCCACCCGATTCCGCAGGGCATTCTCCGGGCGGATGTGCGCTGGCGTCGGCAGGCCCAGACTCCATACGCCCAGCTGATGGACCAAGGCCAACGCGCAATCCACGGCGCGGTCCACTTCCAGGTCGGCCTCCGAGAGCAGCTTGAACCTTGGAAGATTTGGGCGGATGTTTGGGCAGATTTTGGTTGGAAAAGGCTGATTAATGTGCTGATGTGGATGGAGATAGGGCAAAATGGCTGGAAATTTGGATATCATGAAGATAATTTATATTAAACTGAACAGATTTCAATCCGAATGGGAATGATGATGTACAACATGCTACAACCGTTAGTGCCATGGTGATTTGTCAAGCCGAGGGCTGGACGCACCGGCCAGCGAGGCATCCGAGGCGATCGCTTCTTGCAAGGACGCAGAAAGTTTCTCATCTGTCAGAGCCTCGAGCTTTGTAAGCCTCAAAGGATGATAGGATGAGACAAAGCCGAGACAAAGCCAAAATTAAAGCAACTCCAAGTACTTTGAAGTTGAAGATGTTGTCATATATATATATAATTAAATTATATGTATGTGTGTGTGTGTTTATTGGATTTCATTAGATTAAATATGGCAAATTCGGTCATCTGCGGGTCATGTCCTCTCGGATGAATCGGATTCAGCCTGACTGGCCTGTTGACTCTGTCTTGTGAGAACATCTGGACGAGACGCTCCAGTTCCATCTCCTGCATCAAATTCTGAGGCCACGGTTTTGGCCACGTTTTTTGATTTACCAAATTCAGGGCCACTCTTAGAAAGGTACTTCATCGGAAAGGGATGAAGATGGATGAAATATTCCAAGATCATTTATGATCATTAAATGGATGAAGTATTCCAAGATCATTTATATTTGTGATCATTTAAGACTGAGTCTGAATCTGATCCAATCTGATCTCCATAGCTCCCAATGGCTCCTGCTTTTTCTGCTGCGCCAGCTGTTTGTCCTTCTCTGACTGCTCAATGGCTTTCAATCTGGACTCTTCTCGTTGCTGTTCTTTTCGGAGCTTGTCTTGTTCTTCCTGCCGGCCATCCATTGATTCATCCAGGTAAATTTAACATAACTATGGAAAATCACCATTTGTAATGGGAAAATCCACTATAAATGGCCATTTTCAATAGCTATGTTAAATTACCAGAGGGTAAATTTCACTGAATTTCGTTGCAAAACACATGGCCACATGGCCACATGGCCACTCTCGTCCGGTCCTGCTTCTTCTGCTTCTCTTCAGCTTTCCGAGCTTTCCTTGTGAACAACTTGCCATGATAAACACTAAAAACCATCTTTTTTTTAACCAATGAGGCCGGCCATTGAGGTCGGTATCCCTGAAAACCTGTGTAGATGCTACTGTCCACATTTTTTGTTGCTTGATACCCCCATTGTAGAATGTCATGTCATGTTCACCATTTAAATGCCATGTTGGGGTTCCACTGTCTCTCTGCTTATTTCGGGCTGATCTGTTCTAGTTCCGATAGCGGAGCGACTGCTCTTCTTTCTTCTCTTGTTGTCTCTTGGCAGCTTCTGCAGCTGCTTGTTCCTTCTTGCGCTGTTCCTGTGCAATATCCAACAATATCCAACATATCAACATGGGCACTTGGTGGAACTGGAAATGTGGACATGTGGACATGAAAATCTTCGTCATGTCCCAGCAGATCCAGCAGCCTCCTTCTTCTTCCTTTCCTCTGCCTTTTCAGCGGCGACCTTGGCACGTTCTTCAGCTTGTCGCTCAAGTTCCAGTTTCTTCTTCGCCTGCAACATGCTTTAAGTGCAAATTGGTGCAACACTGATACACACCAGTAATATGGCCAAATTTGATTTCAATTTTTTTGGCCTCAGTAATAGCCTATTTTTCATATATATAATGGCCTGAGGATACACACTGACTCTGGCCAAATCAAAATAATGAAATGAACATCCTCAGCTTTGGCAGCCAGAGTCAAGTGCCCCCTTCCAGCCTCGTTCTCGGCAGCCTCGTAAGAATGTCTGTGGTTCAATGCTTGTCCAAAGAAGAAAGCTTGCGAGAAGTTGGATCAGCAAAAAAACATACCCTCTGGTTATTTAACATAGCAATGGGAAATGGCCCATAGAAATAGATGGTTTACCGGTTTACCGAACTTAAAAATGGTGATTTTCCATGGCAAACTGTTAGTCATAACCGGATGGTAACAGAACCTGATCCAAAAAATCCAAAGTTGGAGGCTCTGAGTCCTCCGCCCTCTGTCTCTTTTGTTCCTCTCTTTGTTGCCGCTCCTCAGCAGCCTGAGAGTCTTCTTGCGAATCTGTTGGTCCGCTGGTTGTGCTCACATCATCTTCCGCCACCTGTCACGGCTTGCGCAAGCATTCCATTTGCTGCTCAGCCGAGCAACATGGCACATGATTCAACTATGGTTTTTGTATGAACATAGGGCCGTTATCCCTTGCTATCCATTGCAATCCCATGGTTTATCAGTGTTTATCAGTGTTTATCATGGTTTATCATGGTTTATCATGGTTTATCATGGCATCTTTTTTTGTGGCTCCCCTGCCTTCATGGGCACCAGTCCGATGGACTTGATGGCCTCGAAAACATACGAGGCCAATCCAGAAATGTGGAGAAAATGGGGGCACATGGGACCCAAAAATAGACCATCTGGGTTATATCATCTGGTTATATCATCTGGGTATTCTGGGTATACCATATGTTGACACTATATGAACTGGACGCGAATTCGGTGTCGTGCAAAAAGGCAATGATAAAAAAATGCACGCAAATGAAAAATGTTGGCAGAGTATGAAGGTCTGCGATTTTTGGACAAACTCGTACCCTCTGGCACGCCGACCTGACAATGGTAACCCTCCACGAAGGGTATTCTCCATTGCCAGCGACTAAAAGAGATGAAAATCTCATGGTCAGACTTGTCAGATCGTATGAAGAAATGTTAAGAAATGGTCATATTATCATATTATGGTCATGGTTTTTGGATAATGATAATATGATATAATATGATAATATGATCCATAATATTTGGATGATAATAATATGGTCATGGGTTCATATTGATCTTGGATGGTCATGGTTTTTGGATCCCATGGAGGTTGGAATTTCCCACCGGAAACTTCCAGTGCCTCGTGGAAGATGTCGGCAGCTGCCAGCGAATCCTGACCCTTCAAGGCTTGATCAAGGCGGTCGCCAAGGGCTCTTAGATCCTCCTCCTGGAAAACAGGAAACATTGGGAAAGCATGGGAAAACCCTAAGGATCTCAGAGTCTGGGCACAGGTACAATAGACATGCATATGGAAATGCATATGGTATGATATCCTTATAGTCTTATGATACTGATGAGAATCAGAAAATCTACTCGATTCATAATAGGGTCACCAGCGGTCACGTCCTTCAGCTGCAAGCAAACCTCGTTGACCTGTTCCAGCACCACGTGCTCCTTGACTGCCTCGCAGTTTCACAGAAGCAACATAGCTTTTAAAGATGAAACGTGACATGATATCGTAGCGTATCATTATAGCCATATCATAATATGGATATCCGCAATAAATGTACAATACATGGTATATATCATATCATCATATCTCATATATATATTCTATAATATTCTATATATGGGTGAATGTCATATTCAGCCACTGTTTTTTAATGAATCTCCTGCATAAAAAATGCATCATAGCTGGCCTGGTGAAAGCCTCGGAGGCGCTGTCGGCATTTCTTCACCCGTTCCTTGATGGTGTCCCTGGCGGCTTTCTCGGCCTTGCGCTTCTCCTCTTCTTCCTGGATGTGGAAATCTGCCGGAAAACTGTTGGGAAAACTGTTGGGAAAACTGTTGGGCTGTTAAAGGGAAAATCTGCAGGACAAAACCCGATTTTTGATGGGGAAAAGTGGGAAAAGCCAGGGTTTACTATGGATTTTCCCTTCAACCCAGTGAGGAATGCTGAGTTGAGAATCTCAGGCTGTCAGGAATTGCGGCACCAAGATGGAAACTGAACGAAAGTGATGGGACAGTTGATACGAGTGCTACTAGAAGTACTTCGCCAAATGACCAAACCAAAACAATGGATTGGTTTAAGGGAAAATCTACATGAAACCATAGTTTTTACCATGAAATATAGGGGTGTTCCGGTTTAAAAAAAAATCACAGCGCGCCTTCCGAGCAATTTCCTCTGCCTTACGCTGCTTGAGCTCGGCCTGAAGCAGCGAATTCACATCACCTCCGACACCTCCGACACCTCCGGTGGAGGAACAGCTTTCTTTCCTTGTGATTTGGTCCATGACTCCATGGTTTTTGTATGTTTTAGCATGTCTTATTAGTTGTCTTTCAACTTACTTCATCACTTCATCTACCCTCTGTCCCCTCCGTTTCGACTTTTTCTCCGGTGCGGTTGGAGATGCTGCAGATGGCAGTGACTAATCCACTAAGTCTGCTCGATGGAAGATGTCATCCTGATGGATGTCCTCTTTGGATACCGGGTGCTGAAAAACGCTGTCACAGCCGAATCATGCCACATGTTGGAAACCAGTGGAAACCCAATGGTCTTTCTGATTGATCAATGATTCATAATGATTCATACATGGAGGCTAAAAAACTAATCAGATTCGACCCCTCAAAAAATCATATTTATGTTCTAAGTGTTGATTTTGGGGTTGATGTTCTAAGTGTGACACTTAGAACATCTACCCAGGTTAAATGTTGTAGGAGCGTTTTCCAAATGATGTTCTAAGTGTGTGTTCACTAGTATATACACTTTGTAACAGAGGTGCAACATCCGATATTCATCTGGATACAGCGTTTTAACGAATTCCTTCTCGTCGATGCTGCCTCCGGAATCCTGCGAAGAGTAAACGTTTCATGGAAACGGCTTAATCATTGCGGTTGAAACCGAAAGCATGACATTTCATGACGTTTCATGACATTTCAATGTGCCAAACTCTCTGACTATATCTGACTCTTTGACTCGTGCTCCTTGTCGATGAGTTCGAACAAATCAGTGATCTCCCGGTCTTTCAAACCCATGTCCACTCCAATCTCAGCAGATTTGAAGAAAGTTGGTCAGCTTTCCAAGAGCTCGTAAGAGGAGTCTAAACATATAGAAACGTTAGGACCCTTAGGACATGAGAAATTGGCTTTCGGCAAGATGTTCCTGTCTACAGTCGGTACATGTCGGTACATGTCGGTATACCGTTTCTAGCTCAGTGGCCGGGATTGTGAAGATTGAACATATTTTCAACCAAGCGGCAGAATCTTAAACTCAGCCAAGTCCACTTCATCAGACTGGTCCAAATCAAAAAGTCCAAAGAGCCGCGGCTCATATGGGCCGAATCCCCGGACAGCCGTTTGAGGGCGCGTCTTGTTCAACAGCAGAATGCGTTGTCGATTTGCCCAGATGCTATTGAAGGAATGGCCCACTGCCATTGGCCACAATGAAACTCACCATGAAAATCGATGTCACCACCAATCCTCCCTGGGTTGACCAGGTATGGGAGGTGTCCATGGGGATACCCCAATAGCTGGATGGTTTATAGTGGAATATCCATGAATATCCTATGATCAAAATAGATGATTTGGGGGTACCTCTAGGAGACCTCCATATGAACACCTGGTCCCATAAGAAAGATCCAAGAAGATCCTGGCGCATTAATGAACACGTCAATATGATATGATAATTTCAATATGGCACATGTCAATCTATGTGATATGCATATCTATGTATGTATATATATATATACATATATTATTCATATATATATATATACGTATATGTGTGTATTCATATAATGTCCAGGCATCCATATTCTGTGAGTATCCAACTGGGTGTTTAAAGTGTGCCCTATAGCTGGAGTGAGCCAAGCGTCAATAAGGATCAGCGGTATGGCACTGCAGCAGTCGAAAAACGCCAGCCAAGATGGTAAAAATTTGGTGATTCCATTGCTGTAGGCCAACATGCTGGATTCGGGATCCAGGAAGTCCATGAGGACATCGCGGATTGGAATGGAATGCCCATGGCCTCCATGTTCAATGAGGATAATGAGGTGTACTTCCACCGCTTGAAGCGCTTGGAATCATGAAGATCCAAAGTATGCGGGCTATACGATCTACACACGTATAAGTGCACCAAGATTTTAGTGAAGAATCCTAACAATCCCAACATCAAACATCGTGCCCAGCATTGCCCAGCTTCTGTGCTTTGTGTTTTTTCGCCCCTTTGGGCTTTCGTACCCGACCCACATCCATGTGACTGTCCAACAAGGGTTGGCTCTTCATGGCCAATGCTCCCAGCTTGGAAAAACTGGAGCCATTTCCACAGTCGTTGGTCAACTGGTTGTAACATGTTGTAACTGGTCCACGGTCATTCTGCGACGGAGAAGCGCACTGCATGGCGACTCAGATCCAAAATGCCAGAAACAAAAAAAGATGAAATGTGATACAACTAGAGCATTTGTTCTGGAAAGAAGGGGATCAACAATACCACACATAGTCTTTCTACGTCTTTCTGTCCTCGACCTAAGGGGGGTACAGTAGGGCTTTGAGCTATGCATAGCTATGCAGCTATCTTGTGATGTTTTCCTATGGAAGCTCGCATGGGATTTTTAAAGAGCCAACTGTGCGGCTGCAAACTGTAAAACAATAGCTTCGCCTAGCTGGTTTGTCAAAATGATTTCCAAATGACTTAATATACACGAATAAAAGATCTAACTAGATCTTGCTGGCCTGCAAACGTCATCTTGAAGCATCATAACACAATTCTATTTAATTCTATTTGCAACAAGTATCATCTATTATCATCTGAAAGAATATCAATCCATCAAAAAATATGCGAACATCAAAGATCTGTGTGGTTGCTGTCGCGTTGCTGTCGCGTTGCCGTCGCGTTGCCTCTTCCTTCGCACGTTTCACAGCGGTCCTTTCCTCCTCCCTCCTCGCAGCTTCAGCTGCTCGCGCTTGCTTCTTGGCCTGCGACCCAGCACAAAACATCGCAGAACCATGTAAACCATGTAATATCCCAATATCCCAATTAATCTCCCAATAAACCATGGTTTACAATTAATATCCCAATTAATTAAAGGTTTACATCACCCAATATATCCTAATATCACCATATATCACCATGTAAACGTCTTACAGCTCTGCAAAATTCTGCAAGATTTCACATGATTCGCGGCCGCAGAAGCTTCAGAAGCTTCACTCAGATCATGAGGAGCATTGACAACTGGATGTGAATGGAAAGGAGAGAGAGAGAGAGAGACCACACAGAAGCCAAAGATTGTTGAAACGTTGAGACATTGTGAAAGCACAAGTTCAGAATCAAAATCCATCAGAACCCATCAAAACATCCATCAAAACATCCATCAAAACATCCATCAAAACATCCATCAAAACATCCATCAAAATCCGTCGAAATCGCATTCAATTGGAATTCAATCGGACTTAAATCCATTAAAATCCATTAAAACCCATTGAAATCCATTAAAATCCATCAAAATCCATTAAAATCCATTGAAATCACATTTCAGCGCCGAGTTCGGTCATCGCCTCCTTTTCCGCTTGCACACGTGGATCCGCAGACTCGGCCAGGCTCACCTTGTGGCTGGATGATTTATGAAATTTATGGGGGTAGTCCTATTTTAGGAAACCTCCATATCATGGCACTAAGATGATCCAAGATATCTGTAGATATCTAAGATTAGCTTGAGTCCTGTCAGTCCTCCCATGTCCTGCCATTTTGGCAACGGCAACGGCTCTCTGCAGGCAGGATGCAAGTTTCGCAATTCGATCTCGTTCTTGCTGCTTGTACTTTCGAGCCACCTTCTCGTTCTCCCTGACCATCCATCGCCTGGCGCATAGCGTGGCTCGGCTGAGTTTGTCTAAGAAACTGTCTCAGCTTAAAAAATTCGCTATTGATAGTTTATGATGTTCCATGATGTTCCTATTGAACTCCGTTCATCCATCTATAACTACTATACTACTAATGATTAAATTATTATGCAGTTATACATCATTATCATCATTATTAAATGAACATATATGAACATGATAGTATGTTTTGGTTTCCCACCGTTTCCCAACGTTTCCCACCTTTCTTCTCTGCACTCGGCTTCAGCAAGGTCGCAAATCTCCTCACCCGCCTTCTGCGCAAGCATCACCTTGGCATCGTCCCAACATCCCAACGTTTCTCGCTGCTGAACTTCACACTGGGTAGAAATTGGTTGAAACATGTTGAAACATGTTGACCTTTACCCTCTGGTAAACTAACATAACTATGGAAAATCACCATTTTTAATGGGAAAACTCACTATTTCTATGGCCATGTTCAATAGCTATGTCAGCCATTACCAGAGGGTACCCACAATTCAAATTCGTGACATGCCATCAGATGATCTCAGATGATCTCAGATTTGTCAGGTGGCAGGATCCCGCCAAGATTGGAAGCCATTCCAGAAGTCATAGAAACGTTTCCAGCTGCGAGGCTCGTCCTCTGCTGTGCCAAGATCTGGCACGGGCCTCTTCACTGAGAAACGCGCATTCCTTCGGAATGCCTGGCGCGACATTAATTAAAAACACGCTTCAACTGGGTGTTGATCAAGGACCTTACTATCCCAAAGGTAAATATATATATATATAGAGTGGGGGGATCTTCTGATCATCACAATCACTGCCTCACCAAAGACTTCGAAGAAATCATCCCCCTGGCGGAACTTGGGCAGACTCCTGAGTGAATCAATGCAGCGAAATCAGCAAATCCTCGGAGCTGAATTCAGGGACTATTCAGGGACTCGGTATAGGCTGTATAGGGTCCAAACTTATGAACTTATGAGGTTTCATGAGCTTTGGTTCGTCTCAACTTGGATGTTGTTGGATTCAAATTGACATCCACTTAAAGAGCTCAATTGTTTGACTCCAACCCTCTGACGAGAATCTCATCGAAGTCCAAGCTGGAATCATACTGTTTGCGCTTCACCGGGTCCGACAAAAGCTCATACGCTTCTTGGATCTTGATGAAATTCTCCTCTACCTGATGATCAATGATCAATAATGATCATCAATACCTTTATCATGATCAATGATGATCAATGATGATCAATACCACAGTGCATCACTGCATATCATCATACAGCATAGCTTCAGCAGAACTTCAGGCCATGGTTCTATGTTATTATGGTTGGGCATCTCTGCGAAACCAGGAAAGTGCCCGGCCAGTTGCCTTCTTGGCCTCTTCCGGTTCCATGGTGGCCTGCTTGTCCGGATGAGCGCTCAAGGCCAAGCTTCGGTAGGCTTTCTTGATCTCGTCCTGTGCCGGAGCAACTTAGAATAAAGACATATAAAGACATATATAAGACCATGTTGTTAAATGCTGTTGCATTCATCAGCTGACACGCAAAAAATTGAGGTCCGCATCCATTCTCATCCAGTCATCCTGATGTTTTGCTGAGATTATTAAGATGCACAGTTTTGAGTTGAAAATGGAGCCAGTCCTGAGAAGCACCCTCAGAGATTCCCATGAGTTCCTGCCACCAAAGGCAGTTATATAAACTCTGTGGAAACACTATCCGCACAAAACATGGAAAAACCTGGAAATACATGGAAAAATACATGGAAAACATGGAAAAGCATGGAAAAATACATGGAAAAACATGGAAAAACGTGGAAAATCATGGAAAAATATGTAAAAATACATGGAAAACATGGAAAAATACATGTAAAAATACATGGAAAAAAACATAGAAAAATACATGGAAAAACATATGACCAACTTTGCAAGAACGACCATCTAATGACCATCTGATAACCATCTGGCTGCAACTGAGGTCACCCACATAGAGCTGAACTCCTTTGAGAAGCTCGCCTAGCTGGTGAAAATTTTCAAGTAATGTTGAAGTGGCACATGAAATCTGAAAATATCTGGAAAATCATGAAAAATATGGTTCAATCGTGTTCAGTATGCCGTTAGCATTCGAAACTTGAGGTGAAGAATTGCAGGACCTTGCAACATGATGCCCAACATGATGTAAGATGTTGTAACACGTTGTAACGTTGTTTGATGTCGAGATGCTGATCTTCAGGTACCCGCCACCTGTTTTCTTGTCCTGGCGCTCAAAACATCAAATTTCCGAACACATGACATGGCGGACACCGCCAACAGCGTCAACAGCGACACGACACCGCCGGATACGCTGTCGGTCCTTGCTGTCGCTCTTTCCGTAGTCCTCTCCTGGTGACGCCTCATCATCACTCGAGGAGCTTTCATCATCCTCCGAAGATGCCCTGGCCTGGCAATAATCAATGTGCACAATGCGACCGTCCAGCAAAAATGGTGCAAAACATCATATCATCATATCATCATTGTGGGATATTATCAATGACATTATCAATGATTATTATTATGATTATCATTGATAGTCTATAGATATTGGGATATTCACAAATATAATATATATATATATTTCAGATATTCACAATATCCCAATATCTATAGATAATCATAATCTGAATAATATTGGATATTTGAATATAGATATTCACAAACATCAAATATAATTTCCCAATTGGGATATGATGTGAATGGTGACTCCCACCTCGAAGCGGGCTGTGAAGGCCGCCCCAGCGGCCTCACATTTGTAGTTGGCAGCTGCCTCGGCGGCACAAAAATGTCTCAGGATCCCTGGTGTGTTCCCTCCGTTCCCAATACCCAACAGAAGCAGGTGCATTCTATGTCATTTCTATGTCATTTCTATAGCCATAGCATGCCATAGCCTTTTTTGATGTGTCCTTTTGTGTCCTTTCCATGTACCTACAAACATCTCTGTGGAACGTATTTGTCCCAGCTACCAGCTCGGATGACGAGTTGTGAGTGTCGAATTTCTGCAACTTATTCGTGTGGCTCAAGATTCTACGCCACCACTTTTAGGATAACTCAATGCAAAAAATGGGAGTCAAAGTGAACATGAATGTAATTATCAAACCGCTAAAAGGCAGTTAAGACCTCTAAAGCCTCTGAATACCATCCCAGAAGTTTCAATATGATTCAATATTGATATACCAAGGGCGGTTTCCCATTCAAAAAAACGGACAGAATTACCATTCCCGCCATTCCCAGCAGAGATTTTTCGGTTCAGGTGCCACCCAACCACCGGCCACCCGTTGCACTGGTGCACAACAGCAACCAGAGATCACCTCAGTTGATGGATAAAACTATGGCAAAATAAATGCCCAGTTCTCATACGCTGTCATTGGAATAAATCCACCCAATGTAAGATACGGGGCTTAATGGACAAAAAGTAAATGATGGTGACACTCAGGTGATAAACCCAATGCCAAACCTGGACTGGATATGGTTCTCAATAACATCCAATATTTCAGAAGATCCGATACCCAGGTGATTGTTTCAAAAGATCCGAGCGATTGTATCTACGTCGTGATGGTAACACCACGAGACACACATGGATTAACAACAAACAATGCCAAACATGGAAATGTGGGGATGTGTCAAAGCATCAAACCCTGTACCCCTGGTGAACCATCAAAATCGCTGGTAAATCCCATGGTTCATCCCGATTCATCCACGAAAAAATGGTACCAACATAGCCATAGCCATGGAGAAAACCAGATCCGCCAGGCTATCCCGGCAGTCTCTGTGTCACTGCCATCCAGCAGTGCTTTGCACCGAGCGAACACCATCTCTCAGACCTGCAGCATCGCTGGATGAGAGGCGTCTGAAAACATGGCGATGGGTTTTGGGCATTTCAAAGTTGGTGACTTGTGCCAATTCCATTTTGAAATTTACAGATTTATTTTCATGGTGCCAAAAAATGCGAACAAAAAAGAAAGCAAACATGTCTCTACATCACTTTCAATTGAAGGTGATTGTCTTACCCCAAAATAATACGAGTACCAACCCACGATTGCCTGAGCACCATGAACTGAGCACCATAACCCAAAAAACGAGAAACCCAGGTCCCAGCCTAAGCTGGAGACTACACGGTGCTCGCAGCCAATAAAGCAACGGCAGAAATGTACATGTGCATCATGCTGCATGTACATCTACAACCTATGCCCATACCGGCAACTGGAATCCGGAAAGAACATGTTTGAAGGCCGCCGCCCACTGGAATGTTCAAAACCTGTCAATTTCATTCAATTGCCACATGGTAATTAATCTTCAACAATCCAACTCTTTTTCGGGTTGGACACGCAATAAAAGGGCCCTGACAAGCAGAGAAGGATGCTCCAAAACGCGACGCAACTTGTTGCCGGAGACAAAAACAAACTTGACTACAAACATCCAAATCCACGTGCAACTATTCGCAGCTATTGCAGACTCAGGTCCCATGACCATGACATGGAACGGCGAAAGAATTCAACATGCGGCTCATTTTATTTTCATCTCACAAGGCAACCCCGCTATCAGCCACAGAAGCTTGACGTCTAAATTTCCATCGACAATTGAGATGGCTTACGCGAGAAACCAGAATTATGTCCCTACAATCTCCAGATTGACCTACAACTTGTGCCAAAACTGGCACAGAAACGAAGGTTCTGTGAGTCGCACCTTGTAAAAAACATCCCTTTCCACACGTTTTCACCAGCTTTCCATGGACTGATTATTTTGAACTCTTCATGCGGATCAAACGCGTTCTTTCTTCCAGAATGCCATAAGTACTGCTCTCATTCCTACTATAGTGCATGTGATGGGATATGGATGATATGGATGGACATGGCAATCGTTTGTCCCTCAACCTCTGGGCTGTGACGCTAGAAACTGCTGAGCTCCATTTTTTTCCAATCGAATGGGTTTGCGAGGCTCAACATGGCTCAACATCAACAACCTTCAAAGTCCTGGCAATGGAAAAAAAATGCAAATGTCATGTGCAAAGTGCGGCTCCCCAAAGAGGAATGTCCATCTGCATGTTTCCGCTCATCTTTAAATGTCCTTCCGTAGTTTTACAAATGTTCATTGCCTGTTCTCCAGATTTCTGTCCTCCCAATATTCGCTGCCATAATCTGTGATGAGCTCGGCTCCTCTCTTCACATCCTTGGTGGTCCTGCGGCAATCACAACCATTTGATCCCTTGGATCCATTGGCAATCCAGCAAGCTGATTCCAAATGGTGCGCCTGAAATATGCAACATCACCAAACTCGCAAATCTTCACGTTCACCTTCTTACACTGCCTTGGAGCCAGGAAATATGTTGTCAAAATGGCATAAGCTTGTCAATTTCCATTGCGACATGAAATCAATCCGTGGGTGTATAAGTCCAATATATTTAAATAAAACTTAAATATATTATCATGTCGTGCAATATCATTTTCCATCATGTTCTATGTTCAAATATGTTTTTGCTGAACAACCCTGAAGAATGAGCCAAGTGGCTCCTTTGACCGTGCTGCGTTGATATATCGAGTGGGATTCTTTTCGGCTGTTTCTCGTCCATCGATGCAAAAAGTGGTGGCAGCTCCAGCCTTCTCTGCCTCGCAGCGAATTGTCCAGAGAGCGGTTTTCCCTGGGGTTTAAATCATGGTGAGCTCAATCTGGCAATGAAAAATACCTCATTCCTACGTCTAAAAATGTTTGGATTATGCTTCCAAACGATGACAAATTTCATAATCCTTCCATCATTAGCGTGTTGCCAGGTTTCCGTCTGAAAAATGACTCCGCTAAGCTTCTGACCGCGACTAATTGATCGTCGGTGAAATTGAACAACCCCTCTTCTCTCAGTGGGCACCAAACGTAGTCCATGTCTCTGGTGCCCCGCATCGTCCGAAACTCTGCAATACCTTAAGTTTCATTGGAAATCATGAGAAAGAAAGCTGAAACCTATGACATGAACAGTTAATGAGAAACAATCTAGAAGCGGGCTGAAATGTCGTGCGACTTGCAAAACAATTGAATGCGCAGCAACAAATTCAAATCCACCAAAATATTGCCAAAATGGCAGCCCAATTCTGCACCACGGCTGGCAGGGACGTGGAATCCAAAGATGGGATGCCAAGAAACCGCTTAAACATCCGAAATCAACAAAACGAAAAGAAAGACTCAAGGACTCAAGGACTCAAGGACTCAAGGCGTTATTGGTGCACCCTCCCACTTATGTAAAACTATGTAAAACTGCAGCGAGGGCAGTTCCAGGCAACAGTTGGGAGACAGCTAACAGGATCTGAATGCAGATAAAGCAGTTGAATGCAATTGAAGGCAGCAACCGGAAAGCAACCACCACCACTTGCAAAAAGCACAGCAATTGAAACAAGGACGCAGCTAACAGCACCTGACAGAACAAAAGGCCGCCAACAGCATTTGAATGGAACAAACAGCAGTTGAACGCTCCCAGTTGAAGAACCCGAAGGCAGCAACCAGCCCTTCGAAGCAGAAAAAGGCAGCTGAAGGCAGCTGAAAACAACAACTTGGAAGCAGTGCAACTTAGAAGCAGCAAACGCTGCAAAAGGCACTTCGAGACCGTTGAAGGCAACAACGTGGAGACAGCTAACAGCCCTTGAAGGAAACAAAAAAAGCAGCAAGGGGCAGCTAAAGGTGAAGGCAGTTGCAGCGGCAACTGTAGGCAAGCAAAAACGAGAAAAAAAGTGCAGTTCCATTGGAAGCAAATGGCAGCTGAAGTCATTCAATAAAGCATCGCAAGATATTGCAAGAAGCAACTAGGAGGACGCAGCGAGGGAGAAGGGAACACACAGCAAGTAAAGGGGCTAGAATATCTAGAATGCAGTTTAAACTGCTGGAGGCTGCAGGAAGCAGCTCAAGGGTGTTCAGGGCAGCAAATTGCAGGCAGCCAACAGACTTTCCAAGCAGCAACAAAAGGTAGCTGAAGGCTGAAGGAAAACACGGAAGCAACCAGCAGCAATTGAACTGAGCAAAAGGCAGCTGAAGGCAGTCGGAAGCTTTAGCGGGCAGCTGGGTCACCGAGTGGATGAAATTGAGTGGTAAAATGGCCGTAGTAAGCATTACTAGTGCTCGGTCATTTTTTGGTGTTTTTTTGTGTTTTCAGTAAGGCTTAGTAAGGATTAGTAAGGCTTAGCAAATCTTAGCAATTTTAGTAAGGCTTTCTAACACTCAGCTGAAATCACCAATCGAGTGCTAAAAGTTGAGATTGCCAGCTTTGTGGAGGTTTGGGGGGTTACCAGCTCTGTGAAAGAAGCGCAACTGAGAAAGTGGGGAGTGGAAGAAAGCAAGGACTCCGTCTTTCCAAAAACGTGCAATCTCATGCTGAGAAGCTAAGAACACTCTGGGAGTGGGGAGTGGAAAGAGCAAGAAAGGAGTAGTATTCTGGAAGTTCAAATCGGAGATTAAACAAATGAAACTTTGCATCATTCCACCCATGCCCATAGCATAGCACATATTTGTATGTTCTCTCGATAGCATTCCATCTCGATGATCCCAACGTTCGCTATGAAAGGAAGGTCGCACATGATGGCCACAGTGTATGCCAAGGTACTCAGGGGTTTTCCCTGGTAAGGAGGCAACCTCGGCCAAATATCAAAGTCGGAAACAAACAGGCAGCAAATTCGCAAATTGGACTAAAGCCTGAGTAGTTCAACCAAATTTCCAACAGCCTTCTGGCAATGTCCCCTGGTTGAAACCCTTGGTGAGTCGTCATTCATCCACGGGACACAGTGTTCGCCGGAAGCGCTTCAGTGGTGAATAGCCCTTCTCCAGCTCCATCCAGCGTGGATGTCTTCACCTTCAAATGGGAGCCATCCTGAAGAGATGATCTGAACTCAAAGCTGAAGTCAAATGCTGAAATGATCTGAATCAAAGAAATGAGTGCCATCACCTCAAATTGTCAAGAAGCACTCGAAGTCGCAGCTGATCGCAGCTGTCTCAACATGTCTCAACCAGCGTTCTGTTCATGTCATGCTGTGTCGATGGTTTGTCCTCTGGATTCCACTTCAGCAAATTAGCATCTTTCCAGCCAAGCTGACCTGAAGCAGTCCATCCAGTTGAGGTCTGTGACACCTTGTGGGCTTAAGATTTCGTTCCTCCAAATTGGTGAAGCATGCTGAAAATTGTTGAAACAGCGAAAGGTAAGAATCTTCTGGTACTGAGTAGTACTGGTACTTTGTCAATTCTCTGCCAAGCAGCTTGCCCAGCCCTCTTCTCCAAGACCAGCATCCATTGCATCCAGTCTCGCTCTCGAGGCATCTGCCGGCAACTTGTAGAGGCCTCAATACTTTCCTACTTTCAGGATGCCGAAGCTGCCATCGAGGGCATGCTGTTATGAGGCCCATGCCACCAGATACCACCTTCTGTTCCGAGGAGACCAACTCGCTCAAAAACTCGTGGCAGTTGCACTTCGTCTCGAAACCTTGTGCCAGCTTGACTGGCAAAGTGCCAAGTTGCAGATGTTCATGCTTGCATTTAACATCATTCAACGGGCTGAAACCCAAATGACTCAAATCTGCATGAATCCGGAAGGGAACAATGAACTCAATGAGCCATGGGCCTTAAACATATTTCTGCATGGTCATCATGCAACCCCCTTCAGGTAAGTGGCCATCGCTGGCTTCCACACACGAAGTGGCACACCAATCGCGTTCGCAGCAGCGGCACGGCAAACCTAATGTCACCTCAGCCAAAGTAGCCAAAAATGGCAGAAGTGTTAGACTATGTTAAACTGCTATTAGACTGTTATCAAAGGAAGTTGGGAAGCAATACTTCCGTGTTACGGACAAATAGAATTCTGAGATTTGAAATGATAACATATCAATGCATAACAAAAGAATAAGAAGCGGTGGAATTGACCTTGATGAAGGGTGCTGACAATGACGGGGTGGTGATGAAGGGACGTGGTGACGATGGGAAGTGGTGACGATGGGAAGTGGTGAGGAAGGGAAGTGGTGAGGAAGGGAAGCGGTGACGATGGGAAGTGGTGAGGAAGGGAAGTGGTGAAGAAGGGAAGTGATGATGAAGGGGAGTGGTGAGGAAGGGAAGTGGTGAGGAAGGGAATCGGTGACGATGGGAAGTGGTGAGGAAGGGAAGTGGTGAAGAAGGGAAGTGATGATGAAGGGGAGTGGTGAGGAAGGGAAGTGGTGAGGAAGGGAAGCGGTGACGAAGGCAAGTGGTGAGTTGGGGAGGAAGCCGGAGCACGAAACCTTGCGTTTTTCCGTGTAAAGTGGCTGCAGCCGGCGATGAAAGGTACCTCGTGTGTGCGGCGGTTGCGGCTGCGGTCGTTTGGTTCCTTCTATGTGTTTTGCAACAATGGTTGTTCCTGTGTGTAATTCTATGCGTTTCTTGAAGCTGTGGTTGCAGATCGCATTGGAATGGCTGCATGAATGTTGCATGGGCTTCGTTTTGGAGAGGAAGCCGGAGCACAAAACCTTGTGTTTTTCCGTGTAAAGTGGCTGCAGCCGGCGATGACAAGTACCTCGTGTGTGCGGCAGTTGCGGCTGCGGTCGTTTGGTTCCTTCTATGTGTCTTGCAACAATGGTTGTTCCTGTGTGTGGTTCTATGCGTTTCTTGAAGCTGTGGTTGCAGATCGCATTGGAATGGGCGCATGAATGTTGCATGCTGTGTGTTGTGGGGAGGAAGCCGAAGCACGAAACCTTGCGTTTTTTCGTGTAAGGTGGCTGCAGCCGGCGATGAAAGGTACCTCGTGTGTGTGCGGCGGTTGCGGCTGCAGTCGTTTGGTTCCTTCTATGTGTTTTGCAACAATGGTTGTTCCTGTGTGCGTAGTTCTATGCGTTTCTTGAAGCCGTGGTTGCAGATCGCATTGGAATGTCTGCGTCAAGGTTGCTTGATGCCGCCACCGTTGCGCATAGTTCTATTGTGTTTTGCAACTCAGTTTCTGCAGATCGCATTGTCGTGGCTGCGTCAAGGTTGCTCGGTGCCGCGGCTGCATGCGTAATACTATTGTCTTTTGCAGCTGAACAGCGTAAATCGTAATGGAGTGGCTGCATCCAGGCTGCGATAGTAATGCGTCAGTAATCTTCGCAATTTTGGCGCTAGTAGTTTTCCTTTTAAACATCAATTTAAAATATGCTTCAAGATCGTCTTTTTTCTGCTTTGGCGTCGAGATCCATCCGGTTTTGAAGCTGCAATTTCCGACACCGTTGCGCGTAGTTCTTTTGTGCTTTGCAACTCGGTCTCTGCAGATCGCATTGTAGTGGCTGCGTCAAGGTTGCTCGGTGCTGCGGCTGCATGCGTACTACTATTGTCTTTTGCAGCTGAACAGCGTAAATCGTATTGGAATGGCTGCATCCAGGCTGCGATAATGATTTGTCAGCAGATTTTCTCAACTTTGGCGCTGGCAATTTTCCTTTTAAAAACTATTTTAAAAATGCTTTTCTGCTTTGGCGTCGAGATCCGGTTTTGAAGCTGCAATTTCCGATACCGTTGCGCGTAGTTCTTTTGTGCTTTGCAACTCAGTCTCTGCAGATCGCATTGTAGTGGCTGCGTCAAAGTTGCTCGGTGCTGCGGCTGCATGCGTACTACTATTGTCTTTTGCAGCTGAACAACGTAAATCGTATTGGAATGGCTGCATCCAGGCTGCGATAGTGATTTGTCAGCTTCTAATTCATGAGTTCTATTTTTGTGCTAGTGTCATCTATGTGTAGTTGACGTCGGGCGACCCACAGAACAAGTCATGCTGTGATGCTCGCAGCTGTGTTTGGCTTAAACGAAGGGTATGCAATCAATGATGATGCATGACGGGTAACAACTACACCATGTTTACACTTGCCGTTGCGATTTGATGCAATGCATCAACGCTTGGCATGAATGGCATGAATGACCTCCATATTGTAAATATTTTATTGTCTACGCCTTTTGGCAGGCAGAAGAATCGACATGAGTTACGCTCAACCTTGCGGACGTGCAGAAGCGCCGAGATACGTTGAAAGTAGCTCCAACGCATGAGAAAGTTTGAGCTGCGCTCAGATGACATGAAAATAGCCAAGAAGAACGTAGCTGACATATGGGACGACATGAAACCAGATGAAAAGAGCTCAGATGTGAAGTGTGAAGGGTGCAATGTGCTGTGTGAGGAAGGTGCTTGCTTGACGTTGCATTGCACCGGGTCGCGCGCAGGTCATGTTCTTGGACAGCAACACTGCAACAGCTTCGCACAAAGCACGCACGCACGGGCCTGGCTGCGCACGGCGCATGCAAGTTCCTTAGTACCGGGAAGTGATTCATGAAAGCTTGCATGACATATGAGAAGAGATGCGATGAGAAGAGCTGTAAGGTGAGAAGAGCTCAGATTAGAAGAAGTGTGGGGTGTGAAGAGTGCAGTGTGAAGTGTGGGGCGTGAAGTGTGAAGTGTGAAGTTCGGAGTGTGAAGCAAGCAGTGAGAAGTGAGAAGTGTGGACTGTGAAATGTGAAGTGTGGACTTTGAAGTGTGACGTTTGGAGTGCGAAGAGTGCAGTGTGAAGTGTGGACTGTGAAGTGTGCAGTGTGCAGTGTGAAGTGTGGAGTGCGAAGAGTGCAGCGTGAAGTGTGAAGAGTGTGGAGTGTAAAGTGCGAAGAGTGCAGTGTGAAGAGTGCAGTGTGAAGTGTGCAGTGTGGAGCGTCAAGACTGTCAAGAGTGAAGTGTGAAGTGGAGCTTCAAATGTGACATGTGAAACAAGGCACCAGTTTCGCAGAGTGCACGCACGCACGGGCTTGGCTGGCGCACGGCGCATGCAAGTTCTATAGATCAGAAAGGTCTTTTATATATCTTTAAGGCAACTTCCGCCCCGCCTCGTGCGGGTACTACTGGTAGACATATGATTGCTTTTGTAATTGTATGCTCTTATCATGCTCCAAACTCATGATGACCCGATGGAATCCGATCTTGACATGTTTTGACATATTTGACATGTTTTCCTGAGCTTGGAGACTATACGAGCTGCTGCGGGTTCAGGATCAATCAAGCTAGCGATCGGGAGTCCAGCAAAAAGCGCTCCTGGGCACAAGATTATCAATGTTCACAAGGCAGAAATCAAGACAAACTTCTTGGATGTTCTTCGATGTTCTTGAACAGCTTGGGATCATGACATATCATGACATATCATATCATGACATAATGTGCACATTGTGATTGGTTGCGCCCGGTCCTGTGAGCAAACTTCGTCGGGACTGGGGATGGGCGGGCTCTGGCAAGACGAAGGCTCCTGAGATTTGAATCGTAACCAGTTCACAGGGGCGGCTCAAAACCTCAAAACCACTCCAGTAGTATCCATTACTTTTAAGGTCAAAAATAGGTCAAACTGAGAATGCTTCACATCTTCACATTTGGAGCTAAACTGAGAAGGCCTGAAGGATCGTCATGTCCAGACCAAGTGGTGAGCAACCACGTAGCGATCACACCAACCAGTCCTGAGGCAATGGCCATGAAGCGACACGGGAAATCGGTGGCAGTTGCAGTCCTGCCCGCCCTACTCGTAGTCGTGTCGAGCCTAGGCACATCTAGGCACGTAGGTGACCAAGTGGGGTGTGACATGGTGTGACAAAGAACTTCCGAAGGTGTTTGCATGTCTCAGTGTCTCAGTGTCTGAAGTCTGGGCTAGAAGTCATGCGCCTTGGCACTTGGCTTGCTCAGCTACATCATGGGCTACATCCATTTCATCCATTGATGATCCTGAGGCATAGCTTTCTTATGCTTTCTTGCTGCCATCTGCAACGAAACAGCCGTGGATGGCTGAGGTACCAAACGATGAAGTTGACCAACTCCCGCGGAAGAAACAGCTGCAGAAAGGCCGTGCGCACGCACATATTAAAAATGTACACGCTGAAGCAGCTTGCAATCTCCAAAGCAATGGAACATAGAGAAACTGTGAAACCAAAATGCATGGTTTCCGTCTTGTCACAAGGGAGATCTTGCCAAAGAACTGTAGCTCTCAAGAATTGTCGGGATGGTTTTTGCTGGGAAAATGTCAACAGTCAATAGGATCGACTGTGCGGAGTCTATTCATATCTCCTTCTCATGATGGAATAGCATACACAAAAAACACGTAAAAAACAACAGCCCCAGGTTGGAACGAAACAGGCAATCAAACGTTGAAGGCATCCGTCACTGAAAAACAAAATCAACAAAGTCTTCCCCAGAACATGGCTCCTGCGAAGGTGGCAAACAACCCCAGATTTTTCAGCAAAACAACTGCAGGCAAGTTCTCTTTGTGCCTACACATAATTGCTCCGTAGAAATCACTGACCTTTCGTAGAGCCTATGGGCCTACCATGGCCTACCACGTAACATTCACATAACATACATAGCTACATCATTCTGGCGATCTTCTTATGGATGGCCAACGGATCTGCAAAACGTTTATCTCCTGCAAAGTAAGACAGCCATCCCACACCATATCCAGCAGCGGCTCCCGCAATATGCGCTGCCCAGGCAACATGTTGAAAAAGCGGGGAGCGCCGCAAGGCAAATCCAATGCAATTTACTCCAACAAACAAATGTGTCAAGTCTGCGATTGGCATCCAACCCTCGAAAGGTGCCACAACTGACAGTCGACGCTCTGGTTGAAGCATGCTGCTGGTCGTGAATACACCCATCAACATGCCGCTAGCACCCAACACTGGGCGACGGTGTAGAAGCACGTGGCCAGTGCTAGACCCAAGGCCACAGGCTGCAAACAAACCAGCCAGCTCGACGTTTGTCAAATGTTCGGCTGCAATCCGTCCAACCGTCCAGAGAGCACAGGTGTTGAAAATGCAATGCGCTGGGCGCTGATGGAAAATGCATGATGTGAGCAGTGTGTGCCAACGCCCTTTCTGAAGATGCGATCGACTACACAAAAAGTGTCCCAGCATCGTGTTCCGCATCTGGCCATTCTCACGACCGTTTGCAACACTCCAACATCCAAACGTTACAACGTTCGCTGCAAGCAACGAACTCAAAGCTACAAATCCAGGTGGATCAGATTTTGAGCGTGGCTCACCTGTGGGCTGAAGCATCGGTCCTTTGCAAAACTATGAGCTGCACAGCTTGAAACCGAATGGTCTTGAAAGTTTCACTACGTTTCACTCGCCAAAAAGAAATCTGGGCTGATCTTGAGTGTTCACTGCTTGCATCTGCTGTTCAAGTATTGTTCAATTTAGCTGATAGCACGAAAATGCATCTTTCATGTCACTGGAGCCAATTATCTAGCAACACACCCACAGGCAATTTTACGGGCGATTGTGTCCAACAAAAAACAATCAAGTCAAGATTCCAAGTCTGCATCAAGGAACACGTCAGGTACCCCTCAACCCTGTACCCCCTGTATGGGGGCAACCATAAGCCTAGGTATAGACCAGGTGTATACCTTACTTCTATGGGAGCAGTATGGGATGCTTATGGGTGTGTTATGGGAAAACAGCTGGCTTGTGGCATGGGTGTGTTATGGGAAAACAGCTGGCTTGTGGCTGCAGTGCATGTGCGACACTTCGAGGTAGCTAGGCAAACCTTCGCCTTTTTTTGTCGAAGTGACTTTGCACGTGAAAAGTCCACCTTGGCTTGGTTCCTCTGCTTTCTTCAACACAAAAGAAAGGAAGGTGTAAAGCATGGATGAAACGAGTTCAAGGCCAATAAAATAGTCTCAGAGTGGCGCCGCCAACCGGCAAGTTGAGCACGGAGTAAAAGGCACTAGTACAAGGCTATAACCCTACAGGCTATGCCGCACCAAGAACGGCTATAGGAAAACTCGTGTAGGTACTGCAAACCGGCGAGTTTAGCACGGTGACGAGTGCACAAACTGTGCACCTTTTGGCAGTTTCAACGAGCATTGAGAACATTATGTCATCTATTCATGCGTCAGGTGAACCACTGGAAGTGGCCCCCCTGAAAACAGCATTCACACAGGGTCTTTCAAAATCTGTTGTCTTCAAGTCTCTCCACTTCTTTGTTTGTCTGTATAAACAAATCATGCGCTATGAACTCGTATCATTTCCATTATCATTCCAAGACCCTGCTTTACGCAAACAAATATTCCGGACAGATGCGCGTTCCATTCATCACCACAATCTGGCGGAACTGCGCAACTGATGAACTACTGACGTATCGCCAGCATTCACCACCAGAGTGTGGTAGGATAAGGGTGGCGATGTGCCTCCACGGATTACGCGACACCAAGACGAAGGTTTAGATCCCGAGACGGCAACCTCCTTTATGCAGTATATGTGATTGATAAGTATATTCTGACACATTATATATATATGCAGAGGAAAAGAGAGAGGGAGAGATGTATTCTCTCTGTGTGTGTCAGCGAAATTTATATTCATAAAATCATACACCATCCGCAATTTATATCATGATATATCATGATATACGTGATATACATATCTATAATATATATGTCTAATTTATATATCTGATATATGTACAGTAAGATAGATATTGGGCCGTTCCCCGCACCTGGGATGCTGGCCATTTCATCTCGCTCCGTGAAGACGCGAACTGATCTTGGTCCAAGCCTGGCTGGTGGAACTGGCGGAACTGGTTGAACTCACTGTGAACTCCTTTTGAAAATTATGAAAGCCCAATGAAACCCCAATGAAACCGGAGAAACTTTGGGAAGACCTGCTGCTTGACAAATTTTGACAACTGGCGCTTGGCCACCTGCATGGCAAGCTGGTGGTCCTATGAACAGGAGATTCGCCAGAACACAACATTTACGAGAGCCCTAGCTGGAACTGGACTATGGCATTACAGGTCAAACAAGTAAATGTTGAGGAATCGCCATTGGAATGCAACTGCCTTGCCATGGTGATTCTCGCCAGGTTATGATTTTTGGCCTCTTTTTGTTTTCAGGACACTGATCCGACATCCCGTTCAAACCACACCCGCTCCCGCTCGGCCAAAGATGTTGTGCAACTTGTCACACGGCCTCGGTGAAGTCCCGTAGCCATCGCTTGTTGCCTCCATACCGTACCAGAACCATCCCCATCCATGACTCCTACAATTATACATTTGTGAAATGGTGAAAAACGTACGACGACCATTTTCATCCATTTTCATCCATTTTCCCAATATTTTCCAACATTTTCCCAATATGTTCATCAATATTTTGCGGGCATGGCCAAGTTGTGCCAGTTTGAGTTTGCACGTGGATACTGAAAATCAGACACCGGGGGATCGGCCTCCATAGGCCAACTCACTAGGGCTGGATGCACAACTAGTTTAGTGATGTTTAGTGGTACAAACAGCTAATTTCTAGAAAAACTGCTTGGACATGTTGAAGACCAGGTGGAAATTCAGATTCAACATGATTCAACTAATACTGCTGTAGCTGCTAGCCACCAAACATGCAGCACACAAGCTCACACACATTGACTCCAAGGGAATTGGAGCAGTATGGACAGACTCCAAGGCAACCACCACTTGGTTCAGTCGAGAAATGAATGGCTCGAAATAGAACACAGTTAGGACACAGCAGTGTCTCCGTGCAAGTCTTCACATCCATTTTTCTGTCCGACCTGGTCTTAAACTGGAAATGTTCTTAAAATGCTGCATGCGACCCGGCCACAATTCGCATAGAGAATGATAGGAAGACAAGATGCAAGAATGTACCTGTGAATTATATTCCTGGCGTTGTTGCCTATTTGGCGGGTTCCGCTTGTCTTGTCCAAGCTTGCCACCAAAACTACGCTGGCTCCAAACACCAGAGGACACACAGTATACCGTTGCGAATGATGGGAGGAACGTGCTCGACACAATCCCATCAGCGGCATTGGACTAGTGCCATATCACTTTTGTCCCGTGTACTCCAGGCTGCTGGCGATGCTGGAGAAGGTCTCCACCAGCTGAACACCGTTGATGGAGATGTGGAAATGGCCATTGGATGCGGCACCCACCATCCCTCGAAGCCTGGCAGAGTCCGATTTCCTGAAGATCACCGCATGGAACACCAAGGCAGGAAACTCTCGCTGCATGTTGGTGATGGTCTGGATGCAATCTCCATCGATGTTTTCGCCATCAGACATGAAGAGTAAGACAGGCGTCAGCGATAAGAACTTCTGAGAACCGGCACGCATCAGTCTGAGGGCTTCTCCCAGCGCTGGCTCAAAACAAGTGCCTCCCCAGTTGCCCTCTAAATTGGTTCGAGCCGCCTGAGCCGCGTCACCAAACTCCAAGACAGTGCGGGATGAACAGTCAAACTGGACAATTGATACTTTCGCTGAAGGCTGGTGCTGCAGTTTTTGCATGAATGCAGAATGCGCTGCTTTCAGTTGCTGCCACGGAGGCCCTCTCATTGATCCAGACTCATCGTAGCAGCATACAAAGTGGTATGCAGCTGCTGCACGCAGGCCTGCACGACCGAGTTGCCGGTACAAGTCTTTGAGTCGGTCTGTTGCCAGGCAAGAATCTCCGGCAAGGAGGGCATCCAAGTACGCATGAGATTTGGAATCAAAGGCGTTGGCTTTCTTCAACTTCGCTTCCATTTCTTTAACAAAACGATCTCGTTTCCTCTCCCTTGCCTGACAGAGTGCCCCATAGCATGCCTGGGCTTGCATATTGCGCAGGCTGGCCGGATCCAAACCCAAGTCTTTCACCTCCGAGTCAGCCAAAATGATGGAGTAGGTACCACTTTTCCCTTGCCGGGCTGTGCGGCCCTGAATTTGAACCTCTTCGCTCTCGTCGTCTGAGAAGAAGGCTTGGATGATGTGCACCCCGCCGGCCTCACATTATGCTTCCAAAGGACAGATGTTTGAAAGGCAGGGGCAGCTGTTCGCTCGCTTCTGTTACTACTCTCTTGGTCTCTCTTGATCCAAGGGAAAACTTTGTAGCAGGGAACTTAAGGCAAGTAGCAAGACCGTGCTCCGCAGTTACAACTGAACAATGCAGAAACTCAGCACACAAAGCAAGCACACAGGTTTGTAAAATGCGCCACCTCTAGGCCAGGTTCTTTAGTACGCAATTGCTTGCTGTTTACTCACCCAGTATCCACGGCCTGCTCGAGTTTTTCGTCAAAACCTGAGACGGAGAAACGGAGAACTCTAAAGCAGTGTGCATATGATCGCATTTGCTTCAGAAAGAGGAAAATTCATCGACATCATGAAAACGGATGGATCCGGCATCTGACAAAGCCACAGGGACAGCAAAAGTCCGTGCCACGGCCAAAAATTGCAGGAGCCTTACCACACAAGGGGGGTTCTTTCCCTCGCCATTTGATCTGACACCCCTGCACGAGAGTTCAGTGAGTCCATGCACAACAACTCGTTCACTATCGGAGACTTTCTCAGTTCAAACTTCAAAATGGCACTTACAACAGAGTCACAAATTTTCATCGACATGCTGTGTAACTCTGAGGCTTCAGCGAATGTCACCTGGCGATTGGTGGCCGCTTTTTTGGCGATCCAGTCCTTGTCCGCATCAAGAAGATTTGGAAGAAGAGCGTTCCTGGGACAGAAGGCGTCTCTGCATGCATCTCTGAAAGCAACCATGACTAGGATCTATCAAGCACTTTCAACAGCCCAGGCTCTTGTTCACAACTTTGCTGTAGTAAGTCGACTGCATGAAATCAATGACCTGCTGCACATCACGAAAGAAGACAATGACCGCGCGATCCTCTTGAACCTTCTTGGTGACCTGCACAGATTAAGGTAGTTTATGACATTTGAGTCAGGCCAAATCCCCATTCTATCAGACGTGGCTGCACAATTTTTACATCTGCCGTCAAGGCTACAATTTTCAGCAAACTGGAGCTGCCTGGGTGAAGATGTCAAAGGAGTGGTCCTTGTCAGTCGAAATAGTGATGGGCATACCATGGGCTTGATTCAGGAATGCAAAGTTGTTGCGGCCATAGACGGATGGAACCAGCGTGTAGCTGCTGATGCCAAAGCGTTGCATCACCGTCCATTCGTACTTGCCGAGGGCTTCAATGGTTCCCGACACTCCCAAGATCTTTGGGGACGAACCCAAGTTTGCATAGGAGAAACGGCAACATGGAATTCGAAGCGCCAAGACCTTCTGCAAAATGGCTTCATCTACATGGCCTTTGCTCGCTTCTTGCAAGTATGCAAACGCTGTCTTGTAGCCCTTCACCACATCGTATGCAATGCCATCCATGACCTTGTAGCCAATCTTGGACCCATTGAAGATGTAGTCGTTGCCTGTCTCCAGGTGGTCCTTCATGTCGGCACACATTTGGGTCACCTCTGATTTCACCATGTCGGAAAAATCTGGGAATTTCTGCAGCAAAGCTTTGAACTCCTTCCACTCAAAGACCTGCTGGTTGAAAGCACGCAGGTTTGCTGCATTGTCCCTGTTTTTCCAAATCTCCCTCAAAAGCGCCTGAACCTCCAGAAAAGCCAGAACAGCCACTTGATTGTGGGTTTGACCATAGAAATCGCTCCCAAAGAAGACGTCAACTTCATCCACCAGGAGAATTTCTTCCCCATCGCCATATGCTGGAAATGTTGTCAAAGCCTCTGGAAGCTCACCAGTGGAACTCTGCGCTGAAGTTGCTCTCTCTGTGACAGCTTGCTGCGGCGCCTGAGATGTGTTTCTCTAGCACAACACTTCGATGCATACAGAAAATGGACCATCAGAGATCTCCAGTCTGGGTGCCGCAGCTCTCCCCACCAATCACCAAGGAGAAACATTAGAACATTGGAACAGGGCAACATGAAACATCATGAAAGCCAAAAATGCCGCCCAAGAAAAGGATTGATGACGATAGATGTAACCTGTCAACAGGGAATATGCCGGGTCATATGTGAGATTCTGCCAACAGCAAGACGGAATACCAAAGCTGACAGTAAGACGCAAAAACGCTAAGACTACTCACTCTTTCGTGATAAAGTGTCCCCGGGTTCTTTCCCGCCTGGCTCAGTGTGTGGGATTTCAGCTCATCCACCTCCATGTTCAAGGAATTCTGCTTCAAGTGGCCCGTAGTCACCAGCTCATGCGTCAGTCTCCTGACATCGCCCTTTTTCGCGGTGAGGTCTTCGCCTCAAACTAAGTTGGCGATGTTTTCAACGTGTCCTAAAGATGGGATGTCTATTCTCAAGATGACATCACAGCTCAGCTTCTGCTTGGGAGCGAAAACCCCGGTTCCCTTTTTCCCGAGAGCGCCTGCGAAGGGTTCTTCGTAAAAAAGCAGCCGTTATACTACATCTTCACACCTTCACACCTGCAGATCTAGATCTTCAGACCCTCACATCTGCTGATCTACATCTTCACACCCTCACACCTGCTGATCTACATCTTCACACCTTCACACCTGCAGATCTACATCTTCACACCTTCACATCTGCTGATCTACATCTTCACACCCTCACATCTGCTGATCTACATCTTCACACCCTCACATCTGCTGATCTACATCTTCACACCCTCACACCTGCAGATCTACATCTTCACACCCTCACACCTGCGGATCTACATCTTCACACCCTCACATCTGCTGATCTACATCTTCACACCCTCACACCTGCTGATCTACATCTTCACACCTGCAGATCTAGATCTTCACACCCTCACACCTGCAGATCTACATCTTCACACCCTCACATCTGCAGATCTACATCTTCACACCTTCACACCTGCAGATCCACATCTTCACACCCTCACATCTGCAGATCTACATCTTCACACCTTCACATCTGCAGATCTCCTCTCGCTCTTCTTTCTATTCTCTCTTAAGGCGGGGGCGGTGCCGCCGGAGCGCCACGAAACGCAACCCTTTCGCACGAAATGGACGTTGGACGTCAAAAACGGAGGAAAAATTGCGATTTAACTTGTCCCGCGGCAACCCTTTCGCACGAAATGGACGTTGGACGTCAAAAACTGAGGAAAAATTGCGAATTTACTTTGTCCATCGCGACTCTTTCGCACGAAATCGACGTTGAACGTCAAAAAATGAGAAAAAATTGCGAATTTACTTTGTCCATCGCGACTCTTTCGCACGAAATGGACGTTGAACGTCAAAAACTGAGGAAAAATTGCGAAAAAAGGTGTCACTTTGCAACCCTTTCGCACGAAATGGACGTTGAACGTCAAAAACTGAGTCAAAATTGCGAAAAAAGGTGTCAGTTTGCAACCCTTTCGCACGAAATGGACGTTGAACGTCAAAAATTGAGGAAAAACTGCGATTTTGAAGTATCCATCGCAAGCCTTTCGCACAAAATGGACGTTGGACGTCAAAAACAAAGGAAAAATTGCGATTTCACGGGTCCGGTTATTATATGTGAAAGTATTTGTGTGTAAAGGAGTTGCTCTGTGTGAAAGTTTCTGTGTGTAAAACGTCTTTGTGAGGAGTCTGTGTGTAAAAGTGTCTGTGTGTAAAAGCGTCTGTGTGTCAAAGGGTCTAAAAGTCTCCGTGTAAGCGTCTGTGTGTAAAAGCGTCCGTGTGTAAAAGGTGTTTCTGTGTGTAAAAAGCTTCTGTGTGTGAAAGCGTCTGTGTGTAAAAACTTCTGTGTGTGAAAGCGTCTGTGTGTAAAAGCGTCTGTGTGTAAAAGCTCTTGTGTGTAAAAGCTTCTCTGTGTAAAAGGGTCTGTGCGTAAAAGCGTCTGTGGGTAAAAGAGTCTGTGTGTAAAAGCGTCTGTGTGTAAAAGCGTTTGTGTGTAAAAGCGTCCGTGTAAAAGCGTCCGTGTTTGTGTAAAAGCGTCTGTGTGTACAGGAGTTTCTGTGTGTAAAAGCCTCTGTGTGTGAAAGCGTCTGTGTGCAAAATGTGTGTGAAAGCGTCTGTGTGTAAAAGCTCTTGTGTGTAAAAGCTTCTGTGTGTAAAAGGGTCTGTGCGTAAAAGCGTCTGTGTGTGAAAGCGTCTGTGTGTGAAAGCGTCTGTGTGAAAAAGTGTCTGTGTAAAAGCGTCTGTATGTACAGGAGTTTCTGTGTGTAAAAGCCTCTGTGTGTGAAAGCGTCTGTGTGTAAAAGCGTCTGTGTGTAAAAGCGTCTGGGTGTAAAATCGTCTTTCTGTAATAGCGTCTGTGTGTAAATCGTCAGTTTGTAAAAGCGTCTGTGTGTAAAAGCGTCTGTGTGTAAAAGCGTCTGTGTGAAAAAGTGTCTGTGTAAAAGCGTCTGTGTGTACAGGAGTTTCTGTGTGTAAAAGCCTCTGTGTGTGAAAGCGTCTGTGTGTAAAAATCTCTGTGTGTAAAAGCGTCTTTGTGTAAAAGCGTCTGTGTGTAAAAGCTCTTGTGTGTAAAAGCTTCTGTGTGTAAAAGGGTCTGTGTGTAAAAGCGTCTGTGTGTAAAAGTCTCTGTGTAAAAGCGTCTGTGTGTAAAAGCCTCTGTGTGTGAAAGTGTGTGTGTGTGTAAAAGCTTCTGTGGGTAAAAGTGTCTGTGTGTAAAAGTGTCTTTGTGTAGAAGCGTCTGTGTTTAAAATGTCATAAGTATATTCACTAGTGTGCCAAATGTCAGCACACATGTGACAATACTTCACTAGTGAAATGCCTGCAAACGTTTGCACAAAAAAAAAGGTCCAATACCATAGTGCAGTAAATGACACACGTTATCTCATTTTATTCTGGGAATATCCCACACAGTCTATATAAAAAAAAAGCTCGGTACCATGATGCCGTGTATGACACATGTTATTTCATTTTATTATGGAAAATCCCACATAAATGGCTCAAAAGAGATCGGTACCATGATGCTGTAAATCACACATGTGACACTTCACTAGTGAAATGTCTGCAAACATTTGCAACAGAGCTCGATGCCATCATGTGCTTGATGTCAAAAACAGAATGTAAAAGCTTCTGTGTGTAAACGCGTCTGTGTGTAAACGCTTCTGTGTGTAAAAGCGTCTGTGTGTACAGTGTAAATGCGTCTGTGTAAAAGTGTCTGTGTGTAAAAGTGTCTGTATGTAAAAGTGTTTGCCTGTAAAAGTGTCTGCGTGTAAAAGTGTCTGTGTGTAAAAGCGTCTGTGTGTAAAAGCCTCTGCGTGTAAAAGTGTCTAGTGTCTGTGTGTAAAACCTTCTGTGTGTAAAAGTTTCTGTGTGTAAAAGCGTCTCTGTGTAAAAGTGTCTGTGTGTAAAAGCTGCTGTGTGTAAAAGCGTCTCTGTATAAAAGCGTCGCGTTTCTTCACGTCCACGGAATGATGGTGCCGAGCTTTTTCGGCAATGTGCGTAGGAATTACCATAGTAAAATGAGATAACACATGTCATTCGCAGCATCATGGTACCGAGCCTCCTGTGCACTTTTGTTGCGCACATTATATTTCTCCATGTTTTCTTTCTATCCCCCTTTCCTTCTCTCTCTCTCTCCCCCTCTTTCTCTCTATCTATGTCTCTCTGTGGTTGCAAGACACGTGTCATCTGATGCCCTTTACCAAATATCCTCTTCTTAATCAATCTTACTTTTCACACCTTATCCCTCCATAGCTCATATAAAATTCACCAACGATTCACCGACTATCGTTTACGACTACCATCCTCAGAGCTGCTTGAAAAACATCTTTTTCGCTCTCGGGCCAACCGTCGTCTAGTTGTGCTGGGAGCTTCCTTGATAAAGCATGATAAAGCATTAACATGGGCGTGTTTACTGTGTACTTCGGAAAGGTCCTTGACAATAATTGAGCCCCGTGGTCCTGACATGGTCACACCCTTTCATTGCATGTGCTCAAAAAATGTCAAAGCACCTACCCTTGCCAGCAGGCAGCGCTTAATCCATCAACTGAGCGACTGTACTCTGTGGTGCCTCTGTCTGTGACAGCTTGCTCCGGCGCCTGAGATGTGTTTCTCTAGCACAACACTTCGATGCATACAGAAAATGGACCATCAGAGATCTCCAGTCTGGGTGCCGCAGCTCTCCCCACCAATCACCAAGGAGAAACATTAGAACATTGGAACAGGGCAACATGAAACATCATGAAAGCCAAAAATGCCGCCCAAGAAAAGGATTGATGACGATAGATGTAACCTGTCAACAGGGAATAGGCCGGGTCATATGTGAGATTCTACCAACAGCAAGACGGAATACCAAAGCTGACAGTAAGACGCAAAGACGCTAAGACGCTAAGACTACTCACTCTTTCGTGATAAAGTGTCCCCGGGTTCTTTCCCGCCTGGCTCAGTGTGTGGGATTTCAGCTCATCCACCTCCATGTTCAAGGAATTCTGCTTCAAGTGGCCCGTAGTCACCAGCTCATGCGTCAGTCTCCTGACATCGCCCTTTTTCGCGGTGAGGTCTTCGCCTCAAACTACTGAGCTTTCGGGTCTGAGAACGACAAATGAATGAGCCCTGTTTGTTGGTGCTGTGTGCCTCCTGGACAGAGACAGAGATGAAAAATAGAGGTGGAAAAAATGAGCGATATGAAAAGCATGAAAATCATTCCTTCTGCAACTATGATATGGTATCTGGTCTTGACATTTGCCTAGGCATCCAGTGGCTTTGCCGAAACTGGCGACCAAAGACTGAAGGGTCTTGACATCAAATGACAATTTGTTTCACGGATGTGGAGGTGATTCTACCCTGAAATCAAAGCACCTACCCTCACCAACAGGCAGCGATGAATAGTGATGAATCTGTCAACTAAGGGACTGTACTCCGTGATAGTGCTGTAGACAATGCGTTCGGAGCCATGATTCTGCAGCTGCAACTCGGCGAACAAGCTGCTGAAGGCATTCTCGTCTCTCTGGCTGAGGTACTTCGAATAGCAAATGCAGCGAACTCGGAAGCCCAGCAAAGCCAGAAGTGCTGCGCCACCTCCAAGTGCTATCGACTTCCCTTCACCTGTGCGGATTTGCATCACGTGATTCTCCAGATCAATTCGCTGGTTGCTGAAGCCGGTTAGGCACAGCAGCGTCAGGATCTGGACGCTGTGGGGCTTGATGAGCAAATCCTGGCAAACGACTTTAAATGACAAACACGATTTCAAATTGCATTCGACAAACGTGCTTTGCTCTTGATTGACTCTAGGGCTACTAAGCTACTAGTATGGGCACGCTCCACAACTCAATTGAAAGAGAATCACGCTCCACAACTCGAACGCTCCTCTGGCTCCACAGCTTCAGTCTTCTCCTCGTCGTTGGTAGCACTTGCAAGCGCGGAAATGTATGCCTTGCCCGATCTGAGAATCGCGTAAAGCGCGAAGATCCCCGCAAGTAGCTCCGGAATTTTTGCTTTCACTTCAGAAGTCCATTGGCCTCCGCTCTGTGCACGCAGCTGGGCCGCAGTTGCCATGATCTGGTGAGTCAACTGCTCTTGCGTCAGCTCTGAGGCAATCCATTTCTTCAAATACTCATCAAATAGGCGGTCGTACTCTTCCCAACCCTCTTGCAGTTTGCGGATGGCAAGTTGTCGTTCCTTCCGGCCATTTGCCCCAACATTCCAGGAAGAGACTTCCTGAGTGGCAATCTCTAAGCAAAGCACACCCCTCAAAAAATGCATTTGGCTCTGGCAAGAATCGCAAACCATCATCCCAAATCAAAGAATGCTTTAAACGCCGCTCAAGGAGCTTGCAATGTCTGCTTTATGTCCTTCCGTGTGACACTGGTCTCCCTGTTGAACATGACCGTTCGGGCATCACTGAGTTGCGAGAAGGAACTCAACAAGTGCTTTGCCACCGTGTCATCATCCGTATTAGGATCCCCGATTTTGCCCTTGCCCAAGCTCATGCCCAACTGAAGGAGAAAGTCCGCACCCCACCTCTTCTCGTAGCAAAGAGTGAGGGCATGAGATATCTGTTCTTCAGCCCTGAGTTTGAAGTCTCGCAAATGGTGGCAAATGCGGCCCAATGCAATGAGATGTCCTCCAAACTGCAAGATGCATGCCATCGCCTCTTGTCGAGATTCACAACTGCTGATGCACACATGAGCTTTTCGACCCTCCGCCACAATCTCTTCAATCACAATTTTCGATATGTCTTGGATCAAATTGTCTGGCACGATCTCAGGATACGCAGCAAGCTCTTGGCTGATCTGCTTCAACTTGGACAAATCTTCATTCAGCTCTCGCAGAAATCCTGCTTGCCACTTGGCTTGCACGCTTTCTTTGGTCTTCCGCACTTCGTCGATCACATGGTCCTGGATGCATGCGAGCGCCCCACAAATGACTCTAGGATGGTCTCCAGATTTTGATTAAATACATTGACGATTATATTAAATCTCATGGATCCCTCGTCCTGGATGCTCTTCTTCAGCCGATCAATGGAGATTCTCATCTTGCAGGCCAGCCTGGGATCAACATGCCGCAAGTCTTGCAGCATCACCCTGAGTTTCGCATACTTCTGCTCCTCAAGAAGTTTCTCCACGCAAAATCGCAACTTGTCATTGAGACCTCCAGGAGGCACCCTTGGGTTTGCTAACCATTGAATCTGCATATTTGTCGTGAATCCTAGGTCCCCGGGTCCCAAATATGAATCTAATCTATCTAACGGAACAGGAGCAAACAGTGGCCCTGCCTTGCAACTTGTCCAAGAAAAGTCCCTTGATTCGATTGCCAAACCCTTCACGGTTGGCATCGCCTTGTAAAAATTCAAATGCGCCAGTCACCTTCGGCATCATCGTCTGTCTCACTGAAGCACTGATCCGGGCTTGCTGCCTGTTCGGAAGGTATTGCTTGTCCATGTGGTACTGCTTGCTCTGCTTGATGTATGCGCGCTTAACTTCTTCCTTGGTTGGTAGCTGGATCTCACCATCTCGAAAAGGCATTGATGGAAGTACTTCTAGAACAGCAAAGTGCTCACCCATCCTGGAGAGATCCTCAAGTTCGTTTTCACCGATGGTCTTCTCCAGGATTTCAACAAGCCGCTGCCACCTCTCTTTGTTTTTCATTCGCATCCGCAAGTCTTCAACATTTCGCTTGTAGGGCGAAAATCTGGTTGCTAAAATCAAGAACAGCGCCTGCAAGTCAAGGGTTGCGTTGATGGCTTCTTCCACTGATGAGCTGGAAATGGCCTGCTCCAATCTTCTCCGTTGCCCGTCCACAAAGTCGTGCAAAGCATCATGAAATCGTGTTCTGTCAAATTTGAAAGACGATACATGCCGGAAGAAGTCCAAAAAGTGTCCTTGTCTCAGCCAAGCTGCTTTGCTTGGAGTGACCCTAGGATGGGGACTTTGAGACTAGTCTGTCTGAAAGAGTTTGGTCATGATGCGGGGGGGGGACCAGGGACTAAGTGTGCAAATGAGGCTGTGCATTTAAATAGCCCAATGGCACCCATTTGAAATTTCTTGAAATGATGGTGGCGGGGATTGCTGGTTGCCGTGCCAAACAGCACCAGATGCAAAGTTTAGAGTTTAGAGCAAGTGTCCCAGGTCCACTATTGCTCTTCGCACGTCCTGTCCATCACTTAAGGCCCTCAGCAGGCTTAGTAGCTTGTTCAAGAGCAACTTCTGAACTTCCTTCTCAAAGCGATTCATTTCACTCCGGGCATGGGGTCTCAAATGGTCTCGTAATCGGCCTTCAATCAAATGTTTGAACCGCAGGACACTTCCAGCAACCTCGAAGTTTCCCCCGCTGACTCCATCCAAGCCGTCCTGGACATTCTCTGTGATTCTGTGATTCACTGCATCTTTGAGATTGTTGTAGTCCTTCAGTGCGCTAAGAGCTCGCAAGTGTGCCTGCATTTGCTCCTCCGCTGTGGTGGTCAAATAGCCAAAGATTCCATGCGGCAGACTCTGGGACATGGACTTGAGCGCGTCCAACTCAGCTTTCAGCTGCTCGATCTTCTCTTCTGAATAAAGTTTGGCCAACAGGTCTTCATTGCGTGATTCAACCTTGGTTGGGGCCCGGGGTGAGTCGTATTTTAAACATCTGGGGGGTGATGTATTGAGGTCCTGTCAAGGCCACCTTCAGCGCCAAAACTGCCATTTCGGTTTGTGCTGAGGTCCTGCTCGATTGGAGTTGAGTAAGAAACCAAAAAAATGGGAGGACGTATATGTGGTGCTTTGGCAACTAAATGACACAACAAGCAAGACTCCTCACAGACCACACATGCTCGGAGAAAAAGTGGATTCCAAAGGGCAGTTGACTCTACTTTACTCATGCAAATTAACCAAACAAATCCAACACCCTTTGCTCCCCGGAACTCAGCTCAAATCAAAAACAGGGCACTTCGCGCTTGAGCTGCTCTAGTTCTTGTTGGACTCGAGCCGGAACATTAAAAAGGTGATCGCGCAAGCCTTCGTCAAAATGCTTTCTCAACAGCTCAAGCGCATCGATGCCTCAAGAGCGGGCTACGTAAGAGTTCCAGAGGAAACGCTTGGAATTAAGAATGCCTGTAGCTCCTGAATCCATTCCGGAGGGATTACTGAAGCAAAAAATGTGTTGACACCTAGTTGAACATTTTGAGGCAAGATTGCAATCGAGGAGCGGAGCGATCGATACTTAATTCCGCTTGGAATATCCACGAATTACATCAGACTGTCTGCGACAAAGGAGCTATATGAGGAGCAACTCTGCGCAATCTGAGAAATGTCTTGAACGAACGCATCCAAATCCTGGTTCACGTGCTCCACTGCGGTTCTGTACGCATCCTCGGATTGCAACTGCGGCACTTGGAATCTGCCACCATATTCGAAGATTGACAAAAGAAAGCATATTCAACGTTCTTGCCAGCTGAACACAAGTACATAGTCCGAACTGTCCTGCCATGTCTTGCTGTTGGCTGGCTACGAGGCTACGATCAATTATTTTGAAACCTCAACATGGCATCCTGCAAGCGAACTCCCTCTCTTTTTTCGGGATGCGCTCTTACAATCCTACCAGTCGACAAGGGAGCCTGTTGACACCAGTTTGTCCTTGCTCCAACGTGGGGGTCCCCAAAGGCCAGCGCTCAAATATGCTCAAATCAAGCAGACGAAACTACGATGCCTGATTACTGAATATGACTGATTCACCTAGAAAATATAATGACATCCACTTGGAAGAGGACGACTAAACAATGAATCTCTACGAACCTCTGCTCACTTAAAAAGTGAGAGTTCCACGATCCACCTCCCGGCCGGCCGCATGGCAAGCTTCTTTGATGTCGCTTCGATGGCCCGCTTGCAGCTGCCTAAGCTCATAGACCAAGCTCTTAGAGTTCGTTTTCTCATCCTCAGCTGATGCGCATAATCCTGCAACTCTGCATTGTTTGCTAGTTGTGAGCTCTCCCTCTCTCTCTGGCGTAGCTTCAACGCTGCCTCAAAGAGGCGCCCTTGTTCGGTGGAAGGTGCGGACTCAACAATTGTATTGGGCTGTTTCACTATGCTTCTACCACATCTACCCTTTAGGATTCTCGGGCTCTTCCGTTTGTCGCGATCCTCTGCCTTCGCTTTGGGGAACAGCCGGCTGCAGCTGCTTCTTGCCAAGTCTCAACTTGTCGCGCCATCTCCAAAAAGCTCGTCACTAGTGGCGTGACAGTCTCCAAACAACCTCGGGCCTGAGCACTACAAGGTACAAGAGGATGTGCACGCAGTCTCTCTCTCTCTCTCTGGCATGATGTACATCTATATAATCCTATATGGTCATATGGTCCTACATGCATGGATGTATGAATATGTGTATATATATATATATATAATTATCAAAGGAAGTTTAGGGGGAGAAACTTCCGTGTTACGGACTTTTAGAATGTGAGGGAAAGAGTTAGTCAAAGAAAGAGTTAGCAAAGAAAGAGTTCGTAAGGGAAAGAGTTAGTCAAAGAAAGAGTTAGTGAGGGAAAGAGTTAGTCAAAGAAAGAGTTAGTCAAAGAAACAAGTCAGAAAGAGTAGTCAAAGAAAGAGTTAGTGAGGGAAAGAGTTAGTCAGGGAAAGAGTTAGGAAAGAGTTAGTCAAAGAAAGAGTTAGTCAAAGGTTAGAAAGAGTTAGTCAGTTAGTCAGGGAAAGAGTTAGTCAAAGAAAGAGTCAGTGAGGGAAAGAGTTAGTCAAAGAAAGAGTTAGTGAGGGAAAGAGTTAGTCAAAGAAAGAGTTAGTGAGGGAAAGAGTTAGTCAAAGAAAGAGTTAGTCAGGGAAAGAGTTAGTCAAAGAAAGAGTTAGTGAGGGAAAGAGTTAGTCAAAGAAGAGTTAGTGAGGGAAAGAGTTAGTCAAAGAAAGAGTTAGCAAAGAAACAGTTAGTCAGGGAAAGAGTTAGCAAAGAAACAGTTAGTCAGGGAAAGAGTTAGTCAAAGAAAGAGTTAGCAAAGAAAGAGTTAGGAAAGAGTTAGTCAAAGAAAGAGTTAGTCAAAGAAACAGTTAGTCAAAGAAAGAGTTAGTCAGTTAGTCAAGGAAAGAGTTAGGAAAGAGTTAGTCAAAGAAAGAGTTAGTCAAAGAGTTAGTCAGGGAAAGAGTTAGTCAAAGAAAGAGTTAGTGAGGGAAAGAGTTAGTCAAAGAAAGAGTTAGTGAGGGAAAGAGTCAGTCAAAGAAAGAGTTAGTGAGGGAAAGAGTTAGTCAAAGAAAGAGTTAGTCAGGATATATGAGGTAGTGAAAGAAAGAGTTAGCAAAGAAACAGTTTGTCAGGGAAAGAGTTCGTCAAAGAAAGAGTTAGTGAGGGAAAGAGTTAGTCACAGAAAGAGTTAGCAAAGAAATTGTTCCCTCACTGTAAATGGGATTGCAAGCGGTGCTGGTGGAGGAGTTGCCGATGGAGTTTTGAAGGAAGTCTCGCACGAAATGCGTTTTTGAGAGATAGCAGATGCACGAAACCCTATGTTTTTCCGGACAAAGTGCGTCCCCGACGGCGATGATCTACCTCTGCGGTGCGACGGGTGCGAGACGGTCTCGTGTGTGGTCGGATCATGGTCGGATCGGTCTCGGACCATGGTCGGATCGGTTCCGCATTGTAAATGGGGTGTCACCTGTGTTTCGTGCATTTGCGGTCGACAGAATTCCATTGTGATTTGCAACTGTAGGATCGTTCCCGCAATGTAAATGGGATTGCAAGTGGTGCTGGTGGATGAGTTGCCGATGGAATTCCATTGTGATTTGCAACTCTAGGATCGTTCCCGCAATGTAAATGGGATTGCAAGTGTGCTGGTGGATGAGTTGCCGATGGAATTCCATTGCTTTGCAAGTTGTAGGATCGTTCCCGGAGTGTAAATGGTTGCGTCAAGGTTGCTTCGTGCTGTGGCTGCATTGGTAATACTATTGTCTTTTGCAGCTGGATCTCGTAAATCGTATTGGAGTGGCTGCATGAAGGCTGCGACAGTGATTTGTAGCAGATTTTCTCCATTTTGGCGCTAGTGATTTTCCTTCTAAAAATCCTTTTAAAAAGTGCTTCAAAATCGTCTTTTTTTCGCTCTGGCGTCGAGATCCGGTTTTGGAGCTACAATTTCCGACGCCGTTGCGCGTAGTTCTATTGTGTTTTGGAACTCAGTCTCTGCAGATCGCATTGTAATGGCTGCGTCAAGGTTGCTGCGTGCTGTGGCTGCATTCGTAATACTATTGTCTTTTGCAGCTGGATCTCGTAAATTGTATTGGAGTGGCTGCATGAAGGCTGCGACATGGATTTGTTAGCAGATTTTCTCCATTTTGGCGCTAGTGATTTTCCTTCTAAAAATCCTTTTAAAAAGTGCTTCAAAATCGTCTTTTTTTCGCTCTGGCGTCGAGATCCGGTTTTGGAGCTACAATTTCCGACGCCGTTGCGCGTAGTTCTATTGTGTTTTGCAACTCAGTCTCTGCAGATCGCATTGTAATGGCTGCGTCAAGGTTGCTTCGTGCTGTGGCTGCATTCGTAATACTATTGTCTTTTGCAGCTGGATCTCGGAAATCGTCTTGGAGTGGCTGCATGAAGGCTGCGAAATGGGTTTGTTAGCAGATTTTCTCCATTTTGGCACTAGTGTTTTTTTTGTTGGACGTACGTTTAGAGCAGTGTGAAGTGTGGGGCGTGAAGAGTGCAGTGTGAAGTGTGAAGTGTGAAGGAAGCAGTGGGAAGTGAGAAGTGTGAAGTGTGGAGTGTGAAGTTTCAGTTTGGAGTGCGAAGAGCGCAGTGTGAAGTGTGAAGTGTGAGGTTTGGAGTGTGAAGGAAGCAGTGAGAAGTGAGAAGTGTGAAGTGTGGTGTGAAGTGTGGAGTGTGAAGTTTGAAGTTTGGAGTGCGAAGAGTGCAGTGTGAAGTGTGGAGTGTGGAGTGTGAAGACTTTGCTTCGTCTCTCGCTGAAAAAAAAACCGCTTGTCGAGGGAAGGACACGGTCGGGACAGGTTTTTCTTCGAACTATAGGTCATTTATTTTTGGGAAACTTCCGCCGCCGGCTTGCCCGGGTCTATGTTATAGACTCAAGGACTCGGAGAGTTCAAAATGTGTCCAAAAAACACGAAAGAAGTGTTCATCGAAGTACAATGGATTGGTGACTGTGCTGGCAGGGGGTGAACTATGGACTTCTCAAGAAGAAGCTTATTTCAAAAGTCGGGCGAGCATGGGAATGACATTTCGGGGGTCGAAAACAATTTTTCATGGTGTGATCTCACAGCACGCTGTACAACTACAGCAAAACCCAACAGGGACAGGACAGGCAGGGCCTTCAAGATTGCTCTATCTGTCTCGGAGAGCTGCGTGGTGGTGAAGACTTCAAGACTTCGCCATTGATCAACCAAAGCCTGAAGTTCGTCCGCATGGTCCAAACAAGAGTCATAGCTTTTCCGCTCGATCTCAGCCTGAAGGTCGGACTGGAAGCGGGCTGAAATCCAGCTTGCCATTGCCCGCAACGTTTCCAAAAGCCATGGGGAACTCATGAACGTCAAAAACAAAATGTTTGGATTACAAAGTAAGGCAAGCACAGGCATGAAAAAGGACTGAGGTAAGGAAAAGCATGGAAACTTCCCTTCCAATACCGTTGCGCTAAATTCATAAATCTGTTCGTTTTTGTCTTCTAGGGCTGCCGAAGACAGCTACACTAGGCTAGGGCAATTTAGTTCTCGTGGAAAGCACATTGACATTCCTGCACACGCATATCACACAAGCACACACTCATCGTCGCAGTCACCTTGGATGCCCTGCCTTGATCTTTTCCAGCATCGTCTGAACGTGATCGGTTGCTTGCTGGCCAATCTTCTGCACCTCCTCGGTGAGGTTCGTTTCCTGCAGCGCTTGCCAAGTCAACTTGCAGGTCCATATCAGTACTAGCCGCTTATCAAGACATTTTGATCGGCTCAGAACTTTTTTGGGGACAAACTCAAACTAGTCAAAGGTATGGCACAATGGCATGGAGAACATAGCTTGCTGCTTCGCGGAATCCCACAATCCTGGTAGAGCTTCAAGTATTCACCGATTTCTCTCTCTGCGGCTTTCAAACTGCGGAACTCTGTGGCAAATTTCTCGGGCTCGAGGAGAGATCGCCCCGCCAAAGTCAATCGGTCCAGCACCACGTGCTTGATGGCATCCAAACGTTGATGAAAGAGTTTGGTCGCTGCAGTTTCTGCGCTCGCGGTACCTGGGGCCTCTCCCAAAAGCTCCTTCAAACCTTTGAAATTGAAGCTTTCCAGTGCCCACTGGATTGCCTTGTCATCCTCAACGTTGCGTGCATTCAGCAAGCAGCGATATTCCTGCAATGATCGTTTGGCTTCGTTGAACGCTGCACTCTGCAAATCTGTGAGGTTCAAGCCGCCAAGCTTTGAAGCTGCAGTTTGCCTCTGCATGGGGTCCATGATCATCTCGTGCACGTTGTCGAGCTCCTTCAGAACCTGTGCGCTACGCCGCTACGCAATTTCAATTTTCAGAAGGTCAATGCTCTTGATTAGTTGCAGTGTGAGCTCTCTGGCCAATGTGGCTCGCTGCTCATGTAGGTTCTTGAGTTTGCACTTTCTCTCTCGGGGGTCTCTGCTCAACAAGAGGTCTTGGTATGGCATCGCTGCATGATCATGAATTGGTGCATCAACAAAGGACTGCTTTGATGTGCAGATCTGGACATGTTGCATTCCTTAGCGGTGCCTGTTGCTTCACCTGTCTCTCGAGACTTTCTTGACAAAGCTTTTCCAGTAAACTCTGTAGTCCAAGTGCTCGCCACTTCTGAAGCGCACAGAGAATCAAATCCTTCTCCTGGGTCAAGACAGGGGGAAAAATGTCGGTTTGCACAAAGCAATGTGGAAGCTGCGAAGCCGAAATCAGGTGGCACACGGCTCCCCATACTTGTACCGTTCTCATCCGTTCTCTGCTACAATGGATGTCCGCAAATGTATGTTCTTTTCTTTCACCTTCCAGCATCTAGACTTCTTAAAAGAGAAGATTTGAGGGAATGAGTCCAGAAAACTAAAAGCACGTGGGCCAAGCGCAGTGATAACTTTGAGAGGAGCAAACTTCCTGTCATGAAACTCAAGAGTTTCTAGAGTTTCTATCCGCTATCTAACAAATCCAAACCCGAAAACTAAACAACACAGGCCATGGCGGTCATTCGCTGAGGATCTTTGTAGTTCCCAGACTCATCCATGCAGGAAAAGAAGAACATCTTGGTGCGCTCGGTTGCTTTCTGCAAACCTGATGTCATAATTTGCACAAACAACGCGCGGCAGTGACTCAAAACTAACCATCTTGGTCTTGGCCCTCCAAACAGTTTCGCTTAGCTGAAAAGGTTTGGCCAAAGTACGCTCCAATGCTTGCTTCCACCCACAGGGAAGCGCATCAGGAAAAAGAGGCTGTAGCTGATCATGAGCATGAAGGATATTGTTGAGGTCTTCTGCTGGCCATTCATCAAGACGTTCCAGTTCTACTTCGGGCGCTTTGATAGCACAAAAGCCTAGCAAGAGGCAAGCTGGAAAAGCATGAGATACACAACATGGTGCAAGTATTTTCCTGGCACGGAGCCAACAGAACATGTTGAACAGACTCTCTTAGTGCGGCACGAATCTGGTCCGCTGGCAATGGTTCCTTGATAATCCACGGCGCTTGGTTCCAACTGCTGTGCTAGATATGCAGACCAAAAAAAACACTGTTAAAAGAAATGCAGAGCTAGAGATCACAACATCCTTGTTCTGCTGACAATATGCAGTGTTTCTGCCTAGAATTTCTTAGCAAAATATGCCCCAAGCCCAAATCCCTTTCTTGCCCCAGTTTGCAGGGATGGGTTCTTCCAAAGGACCAAAGAATGCTCGCATCTTCTACAGGCCATGAGTCAGGAGGTTCCACTTCAGGCTTTGCCGTCATAGCACGGAAGCCTTGAAAGATTCAAATGATTCAACCCTGCAGGCTTCAAATGGAAGTTGAAAGATCTAAGTTCAGCGCCGCAAAGCCATTTCTCCAGAAGTGTCTCCTTGACATCCGAAAGCAAAAAAATGGCATACAACGGCACCACAAAAAGCGAGCCAGCTTATGGAGTATTGAGTATTTTCGTCACTTGAGCACATCTTCCTGGCTGAGGATTGCTGACAAAGGTCCATTTTGCCTTTGAGGTAATCTGCATCAACCAGCTGCCGTCCATGAGTTAAGGTACTCAGCCTCTGAAAGGATTCCCAAGCTTGCGTCATCTCCCTCAGATTTGGTTAGCTTTGCCAGTGCAAAGCTTGGGAAGTAGTGACAGTCAATGGCAGGGCAAACTCCGTCTTAAGTCAAATACCTTGAACTCCGTTCTGCCAAGCTTCGAAGTTGTTCGACTGCTTGGGGGGCCTTCCAGGAAGGCACAGAAAGAAGTCTCGAATCGATGGCAAAGATCGTCCGAATACTTCTTGATCTGCTGCCTCAAACAAAAGCCACGGGTTGAAAGAGCGAAAGCGGACTCCACTTCAACTCACCTTGAATAGGATCCTTGATATTCTGCATAGCTGCCCTCGTCATACCCTACCTCTTCCTTGTGCCTGGCTCACTTCCAGTGGTCACATGCCGAGAAACTTGATGGTGTCAAGCACTTCGGTGAAGCTGTTTGAAGCTTCCTTGTTGTCATTGACGCTGTCAATCCACAAGAAACCTTCAAGCACTGCCAGGCGCCTGAGTCATATGGAATGGCTGGAGGCCTTGGAACCTGATGACTTCTGCACCGCCTTCAGGCTCCCAACATCTAGGTCTCCAAGAAAATATAAAGGATCAACACATCATCAGAACTAACAGAACCAAGTACAAAAAGCAATCACATTGCAAGTTCATAAATGTTTGATTAGTCTAGGCCTAGGCCAATACAAGAATGGGTCATGCTGTGACGTCAACGCATGTGCATTAACTTGTTTGTGCGTACGCTGGGGGGGATGCCCAGAAAATTGTGTTTGGGTGAATTCCTTCGTCCATTCAGGAGACGAAGCTCTCGTTTGCTGAGGAAAACCCGGAGCGTGAAACAAGCAAAAGGTGAATTGGGAAGAACAAGGTTGGCCAAGGCACAAAATCAAGCTCTCTAGAGCCATTGAAGTAACGGAGCCACTGGCCTGAGCTCGACAAAGCTGCGAGGGTGCGCATGCTTCGCGACAACGAAGGGTTAAGTGTCATGCAAGGGTCACCAGATCACCAAGTCACCATCAGTTTTAACCTAACTCGAACTGAGTATGTTCAATTCAATCCCGTCTGGATGGCCCGCTGTGCGCTTACCCATTCCCTGAGGCGAGGGCAGTCTGCGTAGACAATGTCGAGGCTGCTGTAGTCAGCTGTTTCACGCAGCTCAGCACCTCCATCCATGCCTCAGGTCACAAATATGGGCTCGAATGGATGCAATTTTGCTAGGCAGATCTGGGCAAATGCTGCTCGTATGACTTTCTATGACCACCAATGGGACCCGCCCAGGTTCCCGTGGAAACAACAAGCGGCTGATGGCCAATCATTCGTCGCAAATAGTTAATCACGGTCTGAACCATCACCAGCATTGAAGCCGTTTTCCATGTATGCCATGGTATGTTTGGGTCCTACCCGTTTGAAGTGCCAATGGGACTCAGACTTCCAAAGGTAATGGCTTCATATGGTTTCATTAATCTTCTTGTTGCTCTGCCTTGGCTTTACACCGCTCGACCGCTCCTTGTTGGATGCAAGGTGCCACTTCGCAGAAGTCTTTGACGCAAATTTGTTTGATAGCTTCGGGCAAGGACTCCGCCAGATTCCGCATAGTGTCAAAGATATTCTTGTAGCATGTACCGCTGGCATGATGCACATCCTTCAGTGTCAGAGTATGGTACTGAAGACAAATTTCATGTCATCTCTTCATAGTCAGTCTTCAACATCGCAAACCCGAATTAAGGTGACAAAGGAAGTGGATCTGGGAGCGTTCTTTCAGTCTTAGTTCAAAGGACCAAGTAGCGTTTTAAGCCTCTGGCGTTTCAGGGGAAATGTTAGTTCTACGCCTGATTCTAGGTTGATCTCTTTAAAAGCTGGCCATTTTCAACAATGTTCATATGAATTTGGACAAGTCTCTTGGTCGTCATTCCCAGCAGCCAGCTGGGCCACAGTCTGCAGGACTACCCTGCTGCCCTCCAACAAGTCGCTGAGCCAACCAGTCACCGCCCCTCGTAGGTGTTGATGCCATGTGGCTAAGCAGGCGCGTGTCTGCGAAGCCACACCTTCGGCACCCTCCCAGGCCAACCTGCTCTCTTCGATTGATGTTGCTACTTCCCCTAGCATGGTGAAGTCAAACTTGGGAGTTGATGCAGGAGACTCCAAGACCGCCTTCACAGATGAGAGCGCAAGCTCGGAAGCGTTCTCGAAGACTTGCTGAAACTGCGTCTGCAAGGCATCAAAGGATTCATGGAAGATCTCTTCCATGTTCCATCCATCCAACGCATCCACTTCCGAAGCGATATCCTTGACATTCTCCTGCCTTGCAACCACAATAACACGATTTCCAAGCTCGTGGACCTTCTTGGCTTCACTTGCGGCCTGCTCAGCGGCATGTGTTGCACAGGTGTAATTTAGCGAGGCGTCCAAAGTGTTGCCGCAATCATATGTATCCCACTTTAGTTTGCAGGCATTCATTCAAATGATCATTCTAATCATAGAAGTCTACTAGGCACATGCAGTTCAAAAGCAGTTTGTTGTGGACCCGCAGAGTTTGTCGCTTCGCCTGCTCGCAGTGTGCTTCTATGAGTAGACTCATTTGTTTTGCCCAGTCAGGCTTGATGGCATTCCACGCGTTGATCTTGGATTGCCACCGGATTATTTCATGGGTCCGTGGCAAGCTCGCAAGATCCGTTGCAGCAGAGACCTGCTTCAATCTCGCCAAGCAGGTATCCAGTGAGCCTAGGCTGCATCTCCCAAGTCGAATTCAAACTCAGAACTCAGAAACCCATCGAAATAAATCTGCAGCACTCCAGCTTCTCAGACGAAAAAAATACGAAAAACCTCTAAAATCTAGATCCTTCATGATCTTTTCAGTTCAGTCAGCAATCTTTACAGTAAATGTGATCACCGAGCAACACTCAAGCCTGCTCTGAGAGCAGCAGTCTCCGCTCCCCTGTCCCAAGGAAGCAATGCCTTCCATCACACAAATGGTGTTCCTGGAGCGTTTGCTGCGCTGAGACTGAGAAAAAATCACCCCAAAAATTGGACAGTGGTAATGAGCTCGTGGTCACCTCAAAAACCAAACGCCTTTGCCTACCGTCCTAAGGGCTTGGTCAAAGCAAGCAACGCAGACAAGGATCCACAGTTTGTCAGCTTCCAATTCACTGAAGTCTTCAGAGTCACTCTCCAGTTTTCTCAGCAGGGCAGTGGCATCGTGCCTTGGAGAATCTTTTTTTCTGTCAATGCATTGCGGTTGCTTGTGTTCAAAACGTTTAAGAAAGAGTGAAAAGACTTGCCTGTCTGGGTCCTTGTCCAGCAGCTCTTTCAGGACACATGACATACTTCTAGCTCCATCTCGAAAAATAAGCATATGAATGTTGCTAAATCCAAAAAAGTGGCGAGAACTACCTTGAAAAGACTTTGTTTGTATTCAGAAAATGGATGAAAATGGCAAAAGACCATGCCACAAACCTCCCTAAATCACGGTCCTAAGCAAACTGCCGGATTAAGGGAACCACCACCCTTGTTGACAATAAGCAGCAGACACATTTGAATCGGGGTTACCTTGCGTGGTCATGCTGAGGGAGGCCTGGAACTTCTGACTGCTGCTGCAGTTGCACGAAGTTCCAATGTAATTTTAAGCTGATCTGACCCAGGGGATGCTTCATGCTATCGAGCAGCCATAGAACTTCAAAACGTCGTGTGAAGATGTTGGAAATCTCATCTCGCACTATGCGAGCGCTGGGCAAGCTTATCAGATAATCCCTCACAAGCTCGACGTTTTTCCACAGGTTTCCTCAGCAAAAAAAGTAGGCCGCGCGGACTCAAATGGCTCAAACGGCCACAAACCAAATCAAACCAAATCAGGCGCAAAGTTAGAAGTTGTTTGCAGCACAACTTGTTTCCCTCCGCTCTGATTTTTCTGGCCAAAGTGCGCAGCATAGGTACATCTTCCGGAGTTGCTTCCTCGAGCACTTTGCGAGCTTCATCACGACTGGCTTGCAGCATGTATTCAATCTTCACCTGCCAGGTGAAAGTTTTTCCCACTAGGTCTCAAAAAGCCTACAGTGTGTGGGTTGAGCATAGGTTTTGTATAGCTGCTTGGCCAGTTGACAGTGAGTGATCGAGCAGGTGTGCCTTGCTTGCAGGCATCAAAATCGCACCCACTGAGTTTGCTTGGATCAAACCTCCCTCTTGTCCTAAGTAGCAAGCCAACAGGGGCCAAGAGCCATCAATCGAAGCCCATAATTACTTCAGCCAACGGCTGACATGTTCACATCTCAGGCATCGACCGAGCGCGTATTCGGCTTTGAAGCGAATGACCGCCTTCCGCACCTCCCTTAGGGTGGCCCACTCTGGGTTGTAGACGTCCACAAGCCTGCAGAGCAGCATCATATCGGCAAGAACATGACAAACATTGCACCAGAATACACCAGACATCCGAGTTCAAAGTACACAGAAGCCTCACCTGTACCTCAAGGTCCCTTTCTCATACAGGTCCATGGATTTCCGCATCCACCGAAGAGCAGCAAGACTTTCCTTGGCCAACCAAATCTGGTACACTACCACAATCAGTCAAACCTGAAAATATTAGTCACCAGTCGGACCAGTCTAGAGGACATGTGACGAAGGTATGCTGTTGGGTATGCTGTTGGGTATGCTGTTGGGCCATCGGATTCTTCCAAGTGTCAGTTTCGTCCGATCCATCCAAGACCTCACGAAGCCAATGATGCACTTCACCACGAGCAGTCTCGGGCGTCAGCTCTTGAATGTTCAGGGCCTCTGCCAAAGTCATCTTCACAGGATCCAGCAAAACATGTGGAAAGTGACAGCTTTTCTGCTGGCCTCCACATGGGTGAAGAAGAAGTTGATGGCAAGAGGATGCTCCCTGCAAACAAATGATCTGGCGCAACTGAAGTGCATATGCATATTGTTTCATGATTTTTTGGCGAGGAAATGTGGGTGAACCCCCCTGGGTATGGTTTCAATCATATAATCATATATCTTCATTGATCTAGCGACTCACATAGTGACATAGCATCGCACTGACTAACGTGCACACTTCCAAGCCTGCGCTTTCCAAGGTCAGGCAACACATTGGCAACAAGCTCGGCGACCCGCCGCAATCCCCCAGCGCGGTCTGCTTGCAAGGTGTAGCAGTTGATGAGAACTACAAAGCGAAGCATCCTGGCGCTGGCGACTATGAACCCTTTGATCCTGCGGCTTTGTGCTCCCTGCCCCTCACCCAAAATGACACCTTTCGTGTAGAAAATCAAATCCCCATCAAAATGACCTGTCTCTCCTGCATCCTTCCGCAATTCGATGACACACGGCTGAGGTCGCAATGTCAATCTCACTGGCTCGAGTGTCCAACTGGCCAGGTGCATCCACCACCACTGCCTTCGCCTCCGGAAGCCACAAAGCGCGGAGACTGCGCCTTAGGTGCAGCGTTTGATGTGGCCCGTTTCCTGGCATTTCACCAGCCCATGAGTTCAAAAGATGGGCACAGATGACAGATAATGGCCGTTGCTTGTTTTGGGGCGAGCAGGTGCGAGTTTCAGCGGAAGGAGTCTGGCATGTTGTGATGATTTGTGGTGATCACGGGCTGCCTATAGTTTGCCACTGCTTTGTGTTTGTTACTTTATTATCTTTATTCGTGGTGTTGAATTCTGTGTGGCTTTTCCAATGTCCATTGATCGGCGTTAATGTCCAAAAATCTTCGTAGTAACTCGGTCCAACTTGGTCCCCTTTTGATCCGAGCAAGCATTCGTTAGCAAATAGAATTCGTCTGACAGGCCACGTGTGAGCATTTTCAAACTTGTTCGCGTTCACAAAGTAATGACAGCATTGTTATAAACAACTTTTAGATGCATAAGGGGTTTCGTTTGTTGGACTATGTCGGACTCCATTTTTTAATACCAGCTGAATGCGCCCCTCGTACATTTGCTCCAAGTCACGTTTCAGATCGTGCCTTGTTGTGGCCGATGGTGAAACCTTCCAATGGATCCTTCGCTTCCTTGGTCGTTGAAAAAGTGCCCAGGAAGGCAAGCTTGGCCCTGTAAGAGCGAAAGCCACATGTGATGCTAACGCCCTGTGACCACCAATCAACGCCCGTCCGGGAAAGAAAAGGTATTAGAAGCCCATCAGCCGCATCCAAATGATAGGCAAGGTCCGAAAAAGTCCTTTCACTGCAACCCAATGCAGAAAGCCAAGATTCCCAGACTTCTTGGTTTTGCCCATTGACATCGCGACTTTGACGAACCAACTCACGGCCTCTGAAAGCAAAGTTGCATATCATATGCACTCAATGACTGCATGGCTGCAGCTAAAGGCGAAAAAATCTGTGGTCCCACTGCATTCCTGCCACAACACACCTGCAAGGGTGTGCATGAAGCAAGTCTTTCCAGAGCCAGTGCTGCCCATCAGGAGAATCACGTTCTTCCCCGCAGTCGCATTCCTGGCCATTTCAAATCCACACTGGGTCAAGCATCCTGTTCCATCGGGTCAACCTCTCCAGAAAACAGCTTTGAATATGTTTGAATCACTGATTGAATGCAGGTTGGACATTACTCAGTCTTCTGAATCTTTTTCGAAAAAGTCTCCATCCCCAGAAATTGACACCTAATTTGCCAAGATGCACTGCATCTGTGGAGTCTTCTATGACTCCGGCCAGGCAATCAAGATCCTCCGTGGGATCCACGCTGTGTCGGAGCTCTTTCATGTCGTTCCAAGAAACTGATAACATGTAACGTGGCTGAAACAATGGCAATACATCGCTGGGCCTAACTAAGCTTAACTGTGTTCACAAGCAGTCCGCAAGCTGCTTGATCTGTTTGCTACTTGGGCTATTGCGTGGCTAAAGATGGTTTTTTGGTTAAAGACAGTCTCTTTGGAGCTGTTGAGCTGTCACAGTAATTACTGTTCGACATGTTTTCCCACGTCTGCTTGCCAAGCTTCAAGTCCCTTCCGTTTGAAATCACACTTACGGGGTGAGTGTTCAGCCAGGAGATGAAGTTTGTCAAGATCATCTGCTAACCTTGGCGCAGGCTTCTCCACCCTCTCCAGTGTCGGAAAGGCATATTCAGATATATTCATACCAATATAGGAACTACCGGGGTTCCACAGCATGATCAGCATGACTGTTCGTTTCTCTTGTCCTGAGAATGTCCGACTGTTGATGTTCTCCTGTGCCGTTTCCGAGCAACGGAGATGATGCCAAACTGTCCAACTCCTTGGCTCTGCGCTCACAAAACCAGAAAATTCGAATCCAACACCAGGCTTGCCATCCCTGAAAAATGTTGGGTCTTGTGACGCAGGACCTTGATCGAAATGTGGTCACAACGCAATCACAGAAGGATTCAAAATGTCCATTTGATCTGTTCGAAAAAGGGTAGTTGCGGTCACAATACCAGTAGAAAAAAAAATACAGCAAATCTGTTCAGCTCCAGATTTACCCCAACACCCCAGAAGTCAACCAACGCTTGGAGGTGTCCAAGCCTGATCAAATACTCCGGTGGATCCTCGTAGAGGTGGAGAGAAGGGCAGAGCCGCAGCCTATCATCTCATTCCAGCTTGGCATGCTACGGTGATGTGTTGGGCTGCTGGGAGTCGGCTCAGATTCAAGGATAAAAAACACGTCTCGGAACTAATTCATGAGACAAATATGAGCGGGCATGGGGAACAGTGTTTTTTGTATCCTTGAAATTTGCAATTTTGTTATATTTTGTTGACACCTAGAAGTGCAAGGAACAAGTTAAAATGATCTTGGTGTTGTTCGGTCAACTCCGGGAACCAGTCTCTTGGCTGCTCTCAACCATTGCTTTGGCCAACTTTCGCTCTTGCTTTTCTCGAGGAGCTGTTGAGATCAGCATGGTTCCAACATTTCTTCTATAGACATTGACATAAATTGCATAAACTATCATAAACATTCATAAACTCATAAACTGCCAAATGCTGGCCTGGACCGGGCATACTTCTTCCACAGAAGGCATGGAAT